ACAGTGCCCATGAATAAAGATTTTTATTAAATACACATTCACAGAGAATTTTCCTTCTGATTATAAATGATTCCCTAGACCTGATGAAGTTAAGCAAGAGCACCAGTGAAATGTTAGTGAGTGAATCTGACTTAGGAGCCTCAGCAGTACATGTGAAATACAAAAGCCAGTTGTGGTGGCTCACTTTGTAAAGCCAGCTCTCAGGAAACTATGGCAGGAGATTGAGGCCTGCCTGGCTTACTAGTGAGTTCTGTGCTAGCTTGAGCTGTAGAGTAAGTCTGCAAAAAGTCAAGAAAGAAGCAAGGGAGTTAGGGAGGATCTGATCAGAAATAACTCCATTTTTGTCTTATACTCAGTTTAAAATTAAATACAATTTTATCTCTTCTATTTGGTAAGTTTTTATATTCTATTCTGTCTCCCCTTAAAACAATTAAGATTTCTCCGTCCTTAATTTCTATTGCCCACCCTTCGTTGAGCATCTTATTGCTCTCTGTAACTACAGACCTTGTTGTTCATTCCTGTGTCCAGACACATCAATTTTATGCTTACTCCACCAGGCTTCCAGAGACTGTCATGCAGCAGCATCTACTCCATGAACACAATGCATGGCTTCCTGCTCTGCCCAGGTCAGCCACCTTCCTTCTCTGCACGCACTCACACTCCTGTGCACACACACCTTGTCTGTACCGTGGGTATTTTACACTCTTCTTCTAACAGCATTGTCTTTAATATCTTCTCCATTGCTACATGTTAATTAAAATATTTTAGAACTTTTGTTTCATTTAGAAGCCAATGAAAATATCTAGTTGTTTCAATAAATATTTTTTTAAGTTTCAGAGACTATGGCAGTTAAGCTATTTTCGGTTGATTGCTTTTGGTTTTTGAAATACAGTTTCATGTAACCCAGGCTGTCCTCAAACTCACTATGACCAGGAACTCCTGATCTTCCTGCCTCCACTTCCCAAGACCTGGGATTGCAAGAGGGTGCTATGTCCAGCTAATTTTAATTTAATTTAAAGATACACACATATATAAGTATGTATATGAGAAACTGGTTCTTAGACTTTGGAAGAACTAGGGGGAATCTTCCCAGTGTAGGATAAGAATGGGACCAGAATGAAGAGAAACAGGGACAAAACCATGAAGATGAAGACCTAAAGAGGTGATGGGAGAGATGCTCAAGGACAGAAGTGGTATTGGTTGTTAGGAGTCAAGTAAAGGGGGCCAGACCTTGTGTGGCTGGGACAGTTTGTCTATGACTTTAGGATTCCTCATCAGAAGGAGTTTTTTTGTGGTAATGTTTGCGACTATAGTACATGGTTTTATTGTCTTTCCCCTTATTCTCTGTTGGTACAATTTATTTATAGTACTTTCTTATTCTTTTCCCCTTTTAATATCTACGGTTAGACCCTTTATAGTACACAAAGTAGACAGTTTGTCATAACAGGTTTACACACAAAGATCATAGAAATGCTTTTATTATTCCTTTAGAACAGGGTGTCTCTTGCTCATCTTCTAGTGTAATTACTGCAGATCCTCCCCAAAGGAAGCACTGAAAGGATCAACTACATTTCTTTTCTGTTCCCCTCCACCTCAGGCACCAAAGTCTTCTGAAATTGCACATATTACAGTGTATAGTGGCACCATCTAGTGGTAGTTTTGAGACCTAACCAAGTTCAAAGTCATTTGATAACCAGTTTAGAATTTCAAAAATAATTTTCTACCAGTTTTGCAAATTGCTGAAGCATTTATTTAATGTCTTATTTTGTTGAGCCTCTGAAATGCTCTTCAAGTCAACAGATAGCACCACTATTATGATTCGTAAATAACATGGTTTGTAAACAAATGGCTTATACATTGTATACCTTCTTGAAACAAGGTCTCACCATGTAGTCTAGACTGTCCTTGATCACCTGCCTCTGCCTCCCAGGAGCGATGATTCTTGGCATAAGCCACCACACCCTGCTCACCTTGCTACTGTGCATGTATTTTAACTATATTTTTGGAAAAAATGATGCTTAGAAATGTAGTTAAACAAAATAATTACTTGAATACCAGAATTTCAGAAGCAATCTCATTCATGGCTATAAGAACTCTTCAGCAAGAAACTGCATTATGTTGCCTCTAAGTCAGAGCATTGAGCTCATGAGGTAACTTTTCCCCCTAACACCCTGTTGCTCATTTTTGTGTTTTATTTTTTCCTATTTGAGATGTTTTGAAAACTAAACAACCCTGTCTTAGGTTCCTCGATGATGCCTGCTGAGCCTATGCTGCATATTTGCGGATCCAATCAGAGAGACTTGAGTAGTGAATCTTACTTCTTATTTTTTGTGGATTTTTTTTTAGTATGTATATTCTTGAAGGGAGGGTTTGTGCAGTTGCTTTTTTGGAGGGCTGAAGGAGGGTATAGGAGCCCATGGGCTGAGAATTATAGTCAGTTGTGAGTCACTTTGGCATGGGTGCTGCAAACTCTGGACTTTTGCAAGTGCTATATACAATCTTAACCACTGAGCCATCTCTCCAGCTTCACATTTCTAGGTCCTTAAATGTAAGCTGTATAGATAGATATCTTGGTGGTGGTTTGCAGTTGATTGATAGCTGTGACAAGGAAAGACATTTGATTATTTAGTTCATTCTTGAGGCAATAGGGGTTATTGAGGAGGGGCAGTGTTAATAAAAATAAAAACACTTGGTAAAGAATCTACATCCACCTGCAATCCCAGCACTCTTCAGATAGAGGCAGGAATATCAGGGATTGAAGACCAACCTTGGCTACATACTTCAAGGCCAATCTGGGCTGCCGTAATCCCAGGTTTGCTTGTCTCAAAACAAGCAAATAACAATCACTTTCATAGATAACATAATAGAACAATAAAATTAATTGCCATTTTTTGAAAAAAAAAGGAAAATACATATTCAATGCCAGAGGGATTGGGGGGGGATAATTATTACCATAGTACAGCTGGAGAGGCTGAAACACAAGGAAATTAAATCACTTTTACAAGGTCTCACTGCTGTTAGTAGTGTGAGTACTCAGGCCCAGATGCAAAGGACCCCAAATCTAGTGTTTTGACTGTCAGTGGGAAAACCACAATAAAAAAGCAGACAGGAAACTTCACTGGTTGATAACTCTTATTTGAATACATGCCAACTTCTTGATAAAAATCTTGGTTTTAATTTATTGTTCACACATCTGTATTTGTTTGTCTCCAGTCTTATTATAGATGACAACTTTCCATCTTAAAGGAAGTTTTAAAATTTTGCCTATCAGTCCCAAACCCTTAATTATTTCTCCTTGTCCATTGGTTATAAATAGACAAACTACCCATGGACCAGCATTTTGCCTATGTGAGCACTCTTCATTCAGCTCTTGGAAGTGAGATACAGTCTTCCCTCCATTTCCACAGATGTTGGTATCCTCACATCCAGGGAACTGCAGATTAAAAATGTAACAGCTATTTAGGTAGCACATAAATTACATGAAGAATTGTTATAGCCTACAGATTATTTAAAATATGGAGAAGTATTACAAAGGCATTGCATAAATCTAGGACATTTTACATATGGTACTTAAACATCCAAGAGTTTTGTTATTTGTGAGGGCTCATAGAACCAATTTTCAATGGATGCTGAAAAGTGACGGTATTTGCCTGTGCCTCTCAGCAGGTGGAGTGTATTGGTAACAATCACTTGAGAGAAACAATTAAGCTCTGGTTTATACATGCTTATAGGTGTGGATTACTGTGTAAATAGTATGTGTGGGTTTTCTATGCTTTTATATTCAACTTTTGTGCAGATTTATCGTCCCTATTTATAATTTCAGTCTTGAGACTTTTGCTATTTTTACTTTGTTCCTATGGCATCTTCTGACCAGCCTCTTAATTCCCCCATCCATACTATCCCACTGTATGTATATGAGGATAAATATACCATGTTTTCTATAATATCTTGCCATGCATTCTTGTACTAATTTATCAAACGTATATAAAGATAGACACATATGATTCCATACAAAAATGGGACCGTATTATATATCTTAAAAATATAGACACTTTCAGTCAGTTGTCCCATTCCTGAGAGTCTTTCCCACTGGTTTGTAAGCTGTGTGTCCAGGGGGTTTTCTGCAGTGTTGCTCATAGTCCCAAGAGGGAAGGAAGATCACTGAATAAGTCATGCTGTATCTACACCACAGGATTCTAAGCAATCACTACAAAAACCAGTGTGATTTATAACAGAAGTGTCTCCTGTATCGTTTTCTGTTGTGGAGTTTACTGTGTGTATTTCCTTACTGACGTCTTAGTGAGACTTCTAGAGGGAGAAGAAATAAATGTGAACAGGCCTTTTCGTAATTGAAAATCCAGTGAAGTAAATTTCAAGATCTAATTTCACTTCCATTTCTTTTCCTACTAGAGCTGTGAGTGTTTCTCTCTTGATTGACCTTCTGTATTTGGGAAGTGGTAATCCACAGCCTTCAAAGTATTAAATTCCTCTTCTTGCCTGGCTTTTAAGCCCTACTGACCTTTTTCACTAGTGGCATCTGAAGGGCATCACATCAGATAAGGTCCTGCTGTTAGTTGCTTTTTATGAGCTTCATTATGTACCCCAGGCTGGCCTCCAACTCAACAGCAATCCTCCTGCCTCAGTCTTATGAGAGCTGAATATAAGCATAAGCTATCATGACTGACTCAAACATAGTCTGCGTTTTTGTTTGTGTTGTGTTATGTTTAAGACAGAGTCTCACTCTGTAGTTCAAGCTGGTCTGGAACTCATTGGCTTTGAACTACAGCAATTCTCCTGTCTCAGCTTCTCATGAGATGGGATTATAGAAATAAGTCAACATACTAAGCTGTAATGTGGTCTTTAAAAATAAACTGAGATAAATTGTCAGTTCAGATAAATTTAACAGTTCCTGGAACAGCTGAGCATATTTGCTAATAAACTAAGAAGAAAGACTCCACACATCTGTGTAACCACAGCGACCTTTTCTTGCTTCCATGCAGATTTGAGAAAGGACGCATCTACACATTCATTGGAGAAGTGGTTGTTTCTGTGAACCCGTACAAGGTGCTGAACATCTATGGCAGGGACACAGTCGAGCAGTACAAAGGCCGTGAGCTATATGAGAGACCTCCTCATCTCTTTGCTATTGCTGACGCTGCTTACAAGGCTATGAAGAGGCGATCAAAAGACACCTGTATTATGATATCAGGTATTTGGAGGGGGCCCTGGTTCCAAAGTTGGAAAGTATTTAATTTTTTTTGTACTCAAGAATTCATACAATCAATGAAAACTTTATTTTTTTAAGTTTACAAACCTAAGAAATTTTATAGGGCTCAGAAAAGTCATGAACACTGAATACCAAAGTATTTCTACCATGTTCTATCATCCTCTAGTCTTTGTTTTAGAGGCTGAGGCAGGAGGATTTGCTTGAACTTTCAGGAGTTCAAGACCAGCCCGAGCAACATAACAAGGCCTCATCACATAAAGAGAGTACACATTATACTTGTATGTCTTTTGTTACTTGTAGACTGGGCCAGCATGGAATATGATTCCTCCTAACCGAAGCACCAAAAAAGTGTCAAAACATAACAAAAATAGTTCAGATGTTAGCAAAATGAAACAAAGTAAATGATGCACTCATTTGCCTCAAAGTCAGACAGGTATTTGGAGACTGGTGCTGTGGTGCAGACACGGGTGGAAATGGGCTTCCTGAGCTTGGGGCCTAAGCTCTGAAACTTAGGGAGGAGAGGATGAGCTGCGGCCCACTTGCACAGAATGGGAGCCTAGCCACTCACATAGTGCTAAGCCCTTTGCAGCATCTCGCCTAGTAAAATGAGGACAAAGAAAGTTATCTTTTCCCTGGCCCAGGATGGCCTCTCAAACTGTGGGAATCTCTGTTGATGCTAATAATACCTCCCATTTACTTTAGTGGTTTTGTGCTTTTCAAAATATTTTTATGATCATTACTTTATTTTGGTTATCAAAACAATTTTAGTGGTATGTAGCATAGTTATTTTTCTACTTTACAGATAAGAATGTTAGGGGTCAGAAGATTAAATAGCTTAGTGTTGGAGTTAGAGAATTATAGCCTAGGAATATACTGTTTTGTTTTTTAATGACCAAAACAATTGAAAACATTCAAAAAGTTGACCAGTTGCACAAGTTTATGAACAAAAATAAAAAGTTCTTTACTTGTTATTTACATATATATATATTTTTTTTTATTGGATGTTTTATTTACATTTCATATGTTGTCCCCTTACCCCATCCCCCACCCACCCAGGAACCCCCAATCCCCTCACACCTCCTCCTTCTTCTTTGTGGATGTAACCTCTATCTACCCCCCCACTCCCACCTCCCCACCCTCAAAACTCCCACCCCCTGGGGCGTCCAGCCTTCATGAGGTCAAGGATCTCATCTTCCACCTGTGCCCAGCAGGGCCCTCCACTCTTATATATTCAGCTAAGGCCCTGGATCCCTCCATAAGTGCTCCCAGGCTGGTGGTTTAGACCCTGGGAGCTGTGGTTGGTTGGTATTGTTGCTCTCCTCATGGGGCCACAAATCCTTTCAGCTCCTTCAGTCTTCACTCTAACTCCTCCATTGAGAACCCCATGATCAGTTCAATGGCTAGTTGTGAGCATCTGCCTCTGAATATGTCAGACTCTTGAAGACCTCTGAGGAGACATCCATATCAGGCTCTTATCAGCATGCACTTCCTGACTTCCACATCAGCATCTACCTTTGGTGACTGCACATGGGATGGATACTCAGGTGGAAAGGTCTTCAGACGGCCCCTCCTTCAGTTTTTGTCCCTCGCTTTGTCTCCATATTTGCTCCCTTGAATATTTTGTTGCTCCTTCTAAGAAGGACCGAATCACCCCCACTTGGTCTTCCTTCTTTATGGACTTCATGTGGCCTGTGAGTTGCATCTTGGGCATTTTAAGGTTCTGGGCTAATATCCAATAATCAGTGAGTGAATACCATGTGTGTTCTTTTGTGATTGGCTTACCTCACTCAGTATGATAATTTCTAGTTCCATCCATTTACCTAGGAACCTCTCAAATTCATTGTTTTTAATAGCTGAGTAATACTCCATTGTGTAAATATACCACATTTTTTTAATCCATTCCTCAGTTGAAGGACATCTGGGTTCTTTCTCTTTGAGAATTTTGTGTAGACAATGTACTTTTTATCATTTATCTATGTATTTTATCGTTTATCACCCCTAATTCCCTCCTTTCCACTTCTTCCTACCACTACCATTTTAACTTCCTTTTCTCTTGTCTACCATGCACCTGGATCTAATTGTTGCTGCCTTTATATACATGGGTGTAGGGCTATCCACTGGAGCATGGTCAACCTACCAGGATCCACACGCCTAAAAAGAACTGATGGTCTTTCCCCCAGGTAGCCATCAATTGTCAATAGCTCCTCAGCCAAGGATGGGTCTTTTGTGCCTCGTTCCCATCCATGCTAGAATGTGGGCTCCCGTGAACTCATGCAGGATCTTGTAGAGGCAACCACAGCGACTTAGTGTACAGTATGACTAAAAAGACCCTGTCATGATTTAAAGACACTGTTTCAGAGCAGTCCTCCCCAACTTCTGGCTCTTAAACTCTTTCCACCCCTTCTTCCACAATGCTCCTTGAGCTTTGTGATACAGATACCTCATTTATGGCTAAGTCCCACACAGACCCTTATTCCAGTTAGGAATAGACCAGTTGTGAGTCTCTATATTAACCACCACCGCTGCAAAAAGAAGCTTCTCTGATGGGAACTAAGAGATGCATTAGCCTGTAGGTATAAAAATGAGGATTTAGAAGACAGTTGGCGACTTTGTCCATTTATAAAAGTATTAATAGTTGATTTTCCCCTAGGGCCATGACCTCCCCAGCCACAGGTTCTTGGCTAAGTTTACAGTACCAGGCACAAAGTTTCTACCTGTGGAGTGGGACTTAAATCCAATCAGATAGTAGTTGGTCCCCCCCCCCACATGCATGTCATTATTGTAGCTCACAAAGTTCATAGCTGAGTAAAATTGTTGATGAACACCAGATATCAGCAGCCTACATTGTACCTTCAGGGTACAATGAAAGCAAGCAAGCAGAAGGAAAGCTTCTAAGTCTGTTCCAGCTTGATTTCTACATGTCCAGTACAAAGTGTATAGTATCTTCAGTCGTGGGTCTTAGTGTCAAGTCATGGTGGACAACCATGAGCAATGGCAAGAGCTGTGTTTTATGTAGGGGAGGATCCTCTTGGACCCATCTGACATGGGGGGGGGGGAGGTTGCGTCCCCCAACATTCCAGAAGTAGCAGATTGTTAGTGTGTGCCCTTTTGTATATTTTTGCTGTGTGTAAGTTCATAGTCACACATGCATAAATAAACAAAAATACATAATTATAAGCATATATCTGCCATTACAAAATTGGTTTTTCCATTCAGCAATGTATAGTGGACATATTTTTCATTAAGGTTTTCATAAAACTAGCACATTCTCTTTAGAAATTCCACTGTGTAATTATTTTTATCTAATTATTTATTAATCTATTTGCCCAATTTTAGCCATAACATAATTTATTTAAAAATAGTTTTAAAGCCTTGGGAGAGTTATACTATTTAGTTAAACTACTTTTAAAAATATTCCCTTGGGAGAAAGCCCAGTGAGTGAAGTTTCAGTGTTTAAACACATAGATGGGACTTCTAAATTGATCCCTCTGCTACCTCCACTAGTACCCATTACACACTTTTCTATAATGCCTTGTGTCTCAAGCTTGGTGTTTTCTTTTTTCACTAAAATTACTATAATCTGGTTTAAGACTCTTGTTTGTCTTTCTTTCTTTTATTTTTTATTTTATTTTATTTTTTTTACACTCCAGATTTTATTCCCATCCTGGTCCACCCTCCAACTGTTCCACATCCCATACCTCCTCCCCAGCCCCTGTCTCTACAAAGGTGTCCTCACCCAACCACCACCCACCTCACCAGACCTCTAAACTCCCTGGGGCCTCCAATCTCTTGAGGGTTAGGTACATCTTCTCTGACTGAACCCAAACTGTAACTGGTTTCAGAAATCCTCGTGGTCATGCTCTCTTTCTCAGCTTTCTGAGTAGCTGGGCCTGTAAGCACCTGACTCTGATGGTTGTAACTAATTACTTTATTCCCAATAAATTTTAAATAATTTTTCTGTAGAAAGTAAGGTCATATGAATGTAGCTGTAGCTACTGTTTGAATCACCCCCTTAGTTTGTTTCTGCTATACTTAGGTGTGGAGCAGTTTCTGCTATACTTGGGTGTATAGTATAAGGAACTAGTTTACCACAACTTAGTCCTTGATGTATTTTACTTAACTAGATATTGATTTGTAATTTATAATTTTGCTTCTGTCATTTCTAAAGACATGTTTCTATCTATTAGAAGCGTCTCAGGACAAAATAACTTAATAAGAAAGTGGGGAGGGAGAAGGAAGAAAGGGAGGGAGGAGAAGGGAAGGTGGAAGCGAAAGTTACAGAGTTTTAAATGAATAGCCATCAAAGGTTTAAATTACTCTGTTGACAATGAGCTTACCCCTACCTGATTCTTCCCTCTAGGGGAAAGTGGAGCTGGTAAAACAGAGGCCAGTAAGTACATCATGCAGTATATCGCCGCCATCACCAATCCCAGCCAGAGAGCAGAGATAGAAAGGTAAGGAACCTCAAGGACATGGGTTGGCCGGCATAGCCTCGCCTAGTATGCACACTGGGCCAGGCCTCAACTGACTGGCAGCAAGCATTTTCTCTGATGTGTAAATTGCTTTGATTCTTACATTGCATATTATATCTCTGCTTTTACTTCTATTACTATATCAATTTCCAGTTTATCAAGATTTTTTTAAAAAATTAAAACTACTTTGAAACAGTTGAAGGTGTCCTGGTTCTAGCTAGTTTCCAATCTCACCAGAGCTCTTGGAATTTGCATAGCTTGGCTTTATTGTTCAAGTCTCTGCAGGTTTTTGCTCTGTGTTTTTAAAAATTATGCTCTGAGAGAAATGGACCCTGAAGATGGACCCATGGCTTTCTATCAGTGTCACAACTGTAACCCACGGATGCTGGGAGTCCAAGTAAGATTCATGTGTGAAAAAGTCTTCGTACTGCACTGTGCTGGCTCACAGTTAGATGAGTACAGTGCCTGGCACACAGCATTTGCTTACTAAGTATGTAGGAGTGAATTGGTGGCTATTTGTTTCTAATGAAGCAGCATGACCAGCTTTCTTGTGCAGTATAGCCTTTTCTGAGAGGAAGAACGTACTTTCCTTTAGCTCTGATGATGAACATTAGTTTACTGAGGAGTCGAAATTCGTCTGTCTGTCACAGGCAGCTTGACAGATGGAGTCAGGGTGCTGGCTGATGTAAAGGAAAAGAATTTAGATTTGATGATACTGTGTGGATTTTGCATTTTCATTATAACTGGATTACCCAGTCAAAAGAGGCCTTCTAAAAAAATGTGACATATTCCCACTTCTGGTTTTTTAACATTTGATCAAATTATTGTAATTTCTTTTGAATCTCAGGAGAGTAGCTAGCTGAGAACTAAATCACTTTCATTTTTATGTAGCAGATAAGGCTTATGTAAATTTACTGTCATTCTCAAGCATAATGGGCTCTATCGTCTTATGGGGACCTTTGTAAGCAAGCAGTTTCTACACACATGCCTTTGTAAAGCATACAGTCATTTATGGGCAGAAGTTTGAAGGGTCCATTGTGGGGTTGGGGGAGGGACGATGGTCCACTAATCAGGTTGTGTCAGAGGCCAGGTTGTTTCTCCAGTGTGACACTGTGAGAAGAATCTTGTCAGTGAAGTAGAAACAAAGACATATGGGATAGAATGATGATAAGATCATCCAATTTTCTAATTATCTTCATCTCTGAATTTTTTATAATAACTTTGAGGTATTTTCATTAAAGAGTGAAGAATATGTTGCTGAAGTCAAACTGCGTTTTGGAAGCTTTTGGAAATGCCAAAACTAATCGTAACGACAATTCCAGCAGATTTGGGAAATACATGGATATCAACTTTGACTTCAAAGGAGACCCCATTGGGGGACATATTAATAACTACTTGCTGGAAAAGGTATGTGTGCTAGATTTCTAGGGAGATGCTTGTGAGAGCTGAATGTCTAAAGCTAATATTTGTGAAATTGCATTTATTGCTTTAAAGTACTGTTTAATCCTATTGCCTGTCTTCAAGTCTGCCTTCCATGGTAAGATACTCTCCTGTGTCCTCACATGAGCACTTGGTGCATTGAGTTAGGTGTTGTCAGTGCAGATTTGGGGTGGGCATGGGACGGAAGAATGTGTGACAACTTTTGGGTAAGATCTAATCCAAACTAGTCAAATCTCCTCTCTCTCCCTCCCTCCCTTCCCCTATGTAGCCAAAGCTGGCCTGTACCTCAGCATCCTCATGCCTCAGCTTCTACCAGTTCAGGTCACAGGAGTGTACCGTGATGCCCAGCTTTCAGACCTTGACTCTTCTCATGTTGCCATCCTCCATCCAGTTTACTTTTACTAAATTGAAATTTCTCATCTAGTTTGTTTGCTTACTGTCTGCAGCAGGACAGTTCATTCTTTCAATCTAGTTAAGCCAAACCATACAGTCACCTCTGCCTCAAATTGTGCTTCAATTCAGAAGCTTCTCAGTCAAGTGTTTTCCATCCCAGTGACACCACAGCATCTTACAGCCCTGCAATTTCTATTTTTATCTGTTATATCAAGGCTAGACAACTAAGGAAACAAGTACTTTTTCAGAGTCAGTTGGAAAGAAGCAGGAAACACTAAATATTACCCATCTTTCTTTCATGTTTTATGATTCCACTGTATGTATATTTATGTGTGTGTGTGGTGTGGGGTGTGTGTGTGTGTGTGTGTGTGTGTATTCAATCAAAAAGAATGCTTTGAATGCATATACATGTTGAACAGTCTTTTTAGAGTGTCTAAGCGGAGTCCCTAGGGCCTGATCATGGTGACTGATTTTATTATAGGATATGAGGCATTGCTTTTTGAAATACCAGCAGACTCTGGACAAGGGAATGTTGAGAATGTTCCTCCCCAGCATTCCTTCCCAGTCTCCCCACTCAGAACCCTACCACTTGCACATACTGTCTTGAGACTGCAGGTTAAAAAACAAACAACAAAAGAAACATGGCTTCACTTTTCATGAATATTATTTTAAACAATATAAAGAATTATCAAAATATTGCTAAGCAAACTATAGAGAACACTCATCTCTGACAAGCTTTGTCCATAGGTTTTTTTATTTTATTCTTTTTGTTTGTTTGTTTTTTACTCACACCTGCACGCCCTGAGCTGAGGACCAAACCAGAGGACTTGTGCTTAGGCAAGGGCTCTACCACTGAGCTAAACCCCATCACTAGCCACAGATTTTTTTTTAATGCACAAGGAATGCAAGATTCTCTAAGAAAGTTGCTCCTGTTTCATTTATAACTATGATTCCAGATTAACTATTTTTTAAAAATATTTTTTCTCAGTCTCGTGTGATTGTGCAACAACCTGGAGAACGAAGCTTCCATTCTTTCTATCAGGTTAGTAATCAGTTCCTTATGCAGAGAATTGTTTGCCTAGCCATGCAAAGAATCTTTCTAGTGTACTCTTATCTGTCCTACACCCCTCTGGCTTTCCTTGTCTCCAAGCTAACTACATGTTTGTACAGGCTTGTATCTCCTACCCCACCTAAGAGACCGTGACTGTGGGCACTGTGAGAGCTCATAGGTGACCAGGCAACAAATGCTCCCAGGCAGAACATTACCATAAAGTGGAGGTAACAGTGTAATGACTGTGGAAGCTATTGACACCGTCTAGAAATGTTGATTTCATTTTCTTTTGAATTGAGTTGCTTCTCTTGTGCTTGAGAGTTCCAGAGATGGAAATGTCAATTTGGCTTGCATTGCTCTCAATAGGTGTAAGGCAATATGATTACTTTAAAAACAAAACAAGGATTTATAAATCCAAGGGAGAATTATCTTCTATGCTGTCAACACTCAGAAAAAAAGAAATAGGTCTTTAGGGAATGTTATTAGAGTTTGAAACAAACTCTTAAATAAACCTCCTTTGGCACATCTGTGCTCAGAAAGCAAGTGTGATTTTAATATGATTTTCGAATCTCAAAGTAATATAAACCAAGATCCTTTAAAAATCTGCTGACCTAATTAAGTAACATTTGGGGGTTTAAAGAATTAAAACCATAGGGTTGGAGCTATTTCAGTTGGTAAATTGCTTGCTGATAAGCAGGAGGACCTGAGGTCAGTCCCGAAAACCTGTGTTTAAAAACTTGTGGGCTTGGTGATGTTCATGTACAGTCCTAGTGCTGGGTAGGCAGTGGCAGTCCTGGAGATTGCTGCCTCCAATCAGGGTAACTGGAATCTGAGGAATGACACAACCCAAAAGCCAGCCTCCCTGCACACACCCACAGGAACACACATGCAGATACACATTTAAAACTTTGAGTTAAAAAGATTGATTTTTTTTTTGTAACTGTCTTTGAAGGTGATTAATTGTGACAGTGTAATCATATACAACATTGCTTGATTAAGTAATTGCCTTGGTCAGTGCCATTCATGTTTGGTTAAAAAATCATTTTTAATGTCTTTTAACTGTACATTTGAAGTAAACCAGAGCTTACTGTTGAGTGCAGAACCTTTATGTCAATGCCTCTTGAATGCATGCTTTATAAATAAAAGGATAACAATTTTGTATTTGTGTTTCTGTTAACAATTTGCTAGATTTTAGATAAACAATTTCTCTATAAAATATAAGAATTGTTTATTTCAAGAAGTTACAGCTTTCTGCGAGTATCTTTCCCAGTTAGGTGAAGTTGCTAAGAAATATCTTCAGACTACTTGGGAGACAGAGCAGGCGGATTTCTGAGTTCGAGGCCGGCCTGGTCTACAGAGTGAGTTCCAGGACAGCCAGGGCTACACAGAGAAACCCTGTCTCGAAAAAAAAAAACAAAAACACAAACACAAACAAACAAACAAAAGAAATATCTTCAGTCTGAGAATCCCAGCTGGCACTCACACCCCTGTCTGAGTGTGACAGTTGAGGAAAAGCTGCTGAGCACGTGGACTGCATGAGACTGCCAGCCGACGCCTCTTCCCCACAATGTTGACTTTCCTGAACTCAGCAGGATGGCACTACTCAGCTGCAAGCCCCTCAGTGCAGGGATCCTGCCTGTCAGATGATGGCATTCCGGACAAGAACCTTTCAGACCCATCTTGTTGTGAATGTGAATTTTAAGTGCTATTCCTCATGGCTGTATAACATTCTGCCTGTCTTACTAGATAGAAGCTATTTACCTATACATGAGAACAAGAAGACAAAATAAAATCCAAAAAATGTCCTCAAAGCATGAACAGGAGGACTGTGTAAAGTCTAGAAAATGAGTAAAGAGCTAGATCACGTCTGTATCAGACCATTTGACGTGTGGGGTCAGCATCTGCCTTGACAATTGTAGTAGCAGTAGGAACCCTAGAGGGACAGAGACAAATGAGTGAGTATTTACTAAAACAGTATTTATTGGCTTGGCTTACACAATTCTGTCTTCATGCTGGAGAGGCTGAGAACCAAGTAACAGCTCAGCCCATGAAGCAGGTGCCTCAGTAGTTCTGGTCTGGTGCTGAAGGCCTTGAACTACCTGGAGTTGCTGATCTTCCTTGAAACGGTGAAGAGACTGAGCTCTTCTGTCAGCAGCAGTGACTGTGGCTCTAGCAGCAGTAGAGTAAACGAGCTGACTGGCAAGATACACACCAGACAGCAAGGCTGCTCCCTAGACCTCCTTTTATCTAGACTGCCTACATTTAGGGAGGGTCGTCTCAGTTCAAATAACCTGATCAAGAAGACCTCTCACAGGAATACCCAGCCGCTCTTAGTCAATTCCAAACGCAGTCAAGCTGACAACCAAGATTATCCATCACAGCAGTTTAATTCAAATTAAATATTTTTCAGCTACTCCAGGGAGGTTCTGAGCAGATGCTACACTCTCTACACCTACAGAAATCACTCTCATCCTACAACTACATCCGTGTGGGGGCACAACTGAAGGTGAGTTTCTTCTCTGAGAACCAAGAGGAGGCAGAGGGAGCACAGGCTAGTCACCCAGGCCCTCATGCAGATGAATGTTTCCTCTGTTCTGCTTTTAAAAATCTCAGTCCAAAATTTATGCCACCATTGGACTGAAAACCTAGCTAACTAACCTTGCATGGCTATACTGTCCTCATCTAACAGAAAAGTTCCTCTCTGTGTTCAGGGTTTTTTCTTAACATCTCTAAATATTTGATCTGACTCCATTTATCTGAAACCATAAAAATCACTGACCAATAGCAAGCCTTCCTCAGAAGAGTGTGTGTGTGATTTAGCCAAAGGCATGCTGTTATGACAAAATGAAATTTAAAAGCACTTTGATCTATCTCTCTCTCTATCTCTATCTCTCTCTCTCTCTCTCTCTCTCTCTCTCTCTCTCTCTCTCTCTCTCTCTCTCTTTCTCTCTCTCTCTCGTCTTTCAAGACAGGTAGCCCTGTCTGTCCTAGAGCTCATGCTATAGACTAGGCTGGCCTTGAACTCACAGGTCCACTTGCCTCTGACTTCCAAGTTCTGGGAATAAAGGTGTGCACTACCACTGCCCAACCTCCACTATTTTAAAATATTGATTGTGATTATCCTAGAAATAGTTTTGTCCCCTTAGATTGTTTCCTTGTATTCACGTTTCGAAAGGCCTCACGCTTTCCCTCCCCTTGCCTGTAATCGCTTGCATGCATATCTGCAGGTCCATTTTGCTCTTTATTTGGATTAGTTTTCCTCTAGTCATCTCATAGCCAGTTTGACAATGTGTTGGTTGAGGAGAGTGTATAAAGAAGTAAATGCATGTTGTCATGGTTCACTGGAGGGGAGGTATGGAAACACAGAGAGCGAGCGCTGTGGGAGGCTTGGGTCTCAGTTACTTCCAGAAGGGTAAGAGTATGCATATTAGGGCCCTGCATTTCCGTATTTTTAACTTTTCTTGAATAAAAAGTACACTGCCAGCAGAGTATGGTAGCACATGCATGTGACCTCAGTACTGAAGAGGGAGACAGAAAGATGATGGTTGCACCTGGGCCACACAGCCAGACCAGCTCACAGGAGAAAGCACTGGTGATTTTAGTTAGGCAAAGAATACAAAGATCTCTGACAGGAAAAGATGTGAGAAGTGTTTTTTACTTAAATTATTATTTCACTTATGCTAGTTATACCCTCATTACTGGCTTAGCAATATTTTTATTGCTATTCATAGAAGTAATTAATTTTCTATTCCTTGGCATTTAGGTTTGCCACCCTTTTATACTTTTCTAAGAGCAGAAATGTTTGGCTGAAAATGAATTGAAAATTAAACAGAAGAAGGCAATGGTCCAACTTTCTCTGCATTCCCAGAAATACTTAAATATGTATAGAGGATTCTGAAATCAACACTTAACAAGCTGTAAGAGACTGGGCAATTCTTTTGCAAGCCCATCATGTGCTTTTCCTCACACCTCCTAGGTGACATTGGCATCACAGGCCTGTGGCTGAGCACTCACTTAGTAAGGGGAAGAAATGGGTGTCTTAGTTAGGGTTTCTGCTGCTATGATAAACACCATGACCAAAAGCAACTTAAGGAGAGAAGGAATTCAATTCATCTTCCAGCTCTAGTCCATCATCCGGGGAGTCAGAGGAAGTCAAGGCAGTACATATGGCCCAGGAGAGGTGCTGCTTCCAGACTTGCTCTCCATGGCTTACTCAGCCTTCTTTCTTATACACACCTCAGGGTCACTTGTCCAGAGGTGACACCACCCATGATAGGCTATGCCTCCATAAATCAATCACTAATTAAGAAAATGCCATATAGGCTCACCTGAAGGCTTTTGTTCTGGGGGTGTTTTCTCAATTGTGGTTCCCTTTTCTGAGATACCTCCAGCTTGTGTCAGGTTTACCATATACTAGCCAGGATAAGGCCATGATCACTTTAGAACCATGAAGCCTCCTGAGACTAGGTGCAAGCCAGAGGTGAGCTTGAAGAGGACTAAATAAATCTCATTCTCTAAGCAATAATGAAAGAAGAGATTAATGGCTGGTAGGGAAACAGCCAGAAATGTCCTTGTATGGGACAGAACTATAATATCAACATGTAGTTATAGTAGTAATATCTGATATTTAGGTATTTTTGGTATGCTAAGGACCAGACAACCTGTAAGAAATGTACTACTCTCTCCATGTAATGCAGGAGGAAATTAAGGCTCAGTAAGGTTAAGCATCCACTCCATAGTGAGAAAACACTGGCAGGTGTAGGAGCTTGTCTAGTTATGTCTATAACACAAAGGAATGTGTGCTCTTTAAGCAGAGTAGGTTTGTTTTGTATATCATTCCTCAGTAAGCAAGCATCAGGCCAGGGCCCCATCCAGGCAAAATGAGCAACTTGTTGAGAAGAGGCTTAGTCCAGAGCTACTTCCTGGAAACTTGTAGTATAAACAGTTGCCAATTTTTACTGTAAAACCTGATGACACACTGGTATGTCCAACCCAGTGTCCATGTGTCCTAGGACTGCAGATTCTAACTGTGCTCCAGTTAGAAGCTATGGCTTCTTATCACTTATCACATGAGAGAAATAATGGAGTATAGCTCTGGACTGCTTGACAGCTTGCTAAGTTGCTCTACGGGCTGCTTTTCCTCTGCTGGGAACTAAGCCTGATTATACAGTGTGAGAGCTGCTTCCAGCCTGCACAGAGGACCTGGAGGAGAGAGCTGCCGATGCAGTAGCCAGCCATGGACCATAGAGTTCTCACATTCAACATTTTCATGTGTGACCTTATGTCCCATGCCACTGCCTCCATGGAGCATGGAGCTGTGATCGTCAATGGTTCAACTCGGGACAAAACCGCTCAGAAAAGTGCATGGTGCTTATTTAAGTGACACAAATCTCATACACAAATAGGCCTTATATAGCTAAACAACATTTCCAACACAAAATTTTTTTAATATTTGTCTCCTTTAAAATGATTTACTACAAAGGCATCAAGATTTCGGCTAAACACTTGAGTTTTGTAGTTAATGCTTAGGTGAAGTGTTTGTGACTTACAGTTCTCTGTTCATGTCTAGTCTTCCATCAATGATGCTGCAGAGTTCAAAGTCGTAGCTGATGCCATGAAAGTAATTGGATTCAAACCTGAGGAGATTCAAACAGTGTATAAAATTTTGGCTGCTATTCTTCACTTGGTGAGTAGGAACTCTCAAAGTGTATTGTCTCCCTGTAGAAACAGGGCACTCTTTTAGAAATTGTCCCCTGTTGAAAGTAATTTCCTTTGTGAAAATTTCCCTTGTGGTTTTGAAAACTGTATTCTGATTTTCTTTATTATTTTGTACGATTATGGGTTTTCCAAACCACTGCAGACTTGGAGGCTGTACCCAGTGTGTGATTTCCTTAGACCTTGAACTCAGCACCGAGCCTAATGGTGACGGCATTTGAAAGAGATGATTTCAAGTGGCCTCCAAGGCACAGACAGCTCATCTGAGGCCAGCACCATAGACCAGATGGCAAAGATAGTCATGAACTTGACTCCATAACAATATAGACCCTCTGTCAAAACTGTCCACTAAGATGAAAGGGTAGACAGGTGTAGAGAAGAGGGAAGGAAGTGCGGAGGAGGCTTTCATATGTGGACATGCAACTTAGGAAGGTAGGTACAAGCAAGCTTACCTGAACTCATGGTATGTCAGAAGCTCATTGGAAATGTCTCTTTTGTTTTTGGCTTTGATATAGGGAAATTTAAAATTTATAGTAGATGGTGACACACCGCTTATTGAGAATGGCAAGGTTGTGTCTGTCATAGCAGAACTGCTCTCTACTAAGGCAGACATGGTGGAGAAAGCCCTGCTTTACCGGACGGTGGCCACAGGCCGTGACATCATCGACAAACAGCACACGGAACAGGAGGCTAGCTACGGCAGAGATGCCTTTGCCAAGGTGAGACTAAACTTGAACCATGGGTTGCAGCATAAGTGAAATTCTCTAAGGATATGTTCAGACATCCCTGACAGTGGGCTAAGGGCTTTAGGAAACCGTGAGACTTTCTGGCCCTCACTGACTCTGTGAAGCTCCTGGTTTATTCACTGGTAGAAAAGCAAACTAGACCAACCGTGGGAATGAGGGAGTTGAAACTACTACCTCAGCGGAGTTTGGCACTAGTATACCTCTCCTGCCTCATTCTCTGCCATCTTCCAGCGTAGCCTCATAAGTTCTTCTGACTGATTCCAGCCACAGGACCTCTGCACATGTCGTATCTCTGCTTGGGCTGTTTCTCTCCCATAGTGCCCTATTTAGTCATGCTGCTTACTCAGCCCAAGTCATGATGCTTACTCATCCTTCCGTGGATTGCCTGAACACAGAATAAATTAGAGTCACTTCAGGAGTGACTATGGGGATGGCTCAGTAGTTAAACATACTTACTGTTCATGCATAAGACCCAAGTTCATTTCCCACCACCCATCTGGGCAGCTTAAACTACCTGTAATTCCAGTATCAGGAAAACTAACACCTCTAAGGGCACCTATATTCACCCACATACAAAACACACATAATTTTTAAAAGTCACCTTAGACAGTGTGTGTTCCTTCATCTTATTCCTTACACTCCTTGGAGTCTATGACTTTCTGTGTATATTGTACTGTATTTCCAACAAACTGTATGTCTGAGTGCCCAGCAAATGTTTAGTGAATGAATAACTTCTTAAGTATCCAAGTTCATTTACTCATAGCTCAAAGTAGGAACAGCTTCAGAGGTGAGAAGTACAGATGTATCACTGATGTAGTAAGGTATGGATACATGCCTAGAGAATAGTCTTAAAATGCAAATAGTAGCCAACAATCATATTTAAAACTCCAGATTGCTTCCTTCAGTTTGCCATGCATCATGTAGCTGTCTGGTAATAGGTGATGTACATTCTAATCATTCTACTTAGGCAATTACACATGTGCTGAACAGTCAGGAGAAGGTGGATAGGATTGAAGACATCCCAAGTCCAAACAGAGAGACTCATTCCCAAACAGGCAAGAATTTATGATGTTCTTTCTCTCACAGGCAATATATGAACGCCTCTTTTGTTGGATTGTTACTCGCATCAATGACATCATTGAGGTCAAGAACTACGACACCACGATACATGGGAAAAACACAGTTATTGGTGTCTTGGATATCTATGGCTTTGAAATCTTTGACAACAACAGGTAAACTGGGTATGATACTGAAAATCCTACTGCTTGTTTTTCTTTCTATTAGCCTAACATTTTCCGTCTCCTGCAGCTTTGAGCAGTTCTGCATTAACTACTGCAACGAGAAACTGCAGCAGCTCTTCATTCAGCTGGTGCTGAAGCAGGAGCAAGAGGAGTACCAGCGGGAAGGCATCCCTTGGAAACACGTGAGTGCCGTCCTGGGGAGTCTCTTTGTGCTGCCCACCTTAGCAGACCTTCTGACCTTTGTGGCTTCCTGGTTGTTGTTTGTCTATCAGAGTGTAACATCACTAGAAGCTCATTCTCTTGACTTCAGTTAGATGAACTTATTTCTGGACCCAGTTGTTCCTGTTCCTCTCATCATTCCCTTTTCTCCTCTGTGATCTAAGTGGCAGTGAATTGCCTTTGGCTGCTGCTACTCCTATTCTCTGAATCCTATGGTTGGAATGCTGGGACACTCGTATGCCTGTCCAGTTCCACATTCTCTCTTTTGCTGTCACCTCTCTCCTCCTGGCTCTTTGTGAATGTTTGTAATTGGCAGAGGCAACTCTGCCAATGAGATGTAGACAGGAAGTGATACTGGTCAGAGGTTCACAGCTGAGAGACTGGCTCTCCAGGCTTTCTTGTTCTCTCCTGCTTCTGACAAAAGTGAGACCTGTGTGTGTCACTCTTCTTATACATTTGTATTGTAGAGCAATCTTGGCAGTACACTTTTAAGAACTCTCTGATGTTTTCTTATAGTTATTGTTTCTGTTTTGTGCAATTTTGTTGGGTTCCTTTGTTTCTTAGGGGACAGTCCCAGGCTGTCCTTGAATCCTACTATGAAGCCAAGGATGACCTGTGCTCCTCATTCTGCCTCCACCTCCCAAGTGCTGGGATTATAGTCTCCCGCTGCCATGCCTGGTTGCTGAGTTTATAAAACTCCACTCTCACCACACAATAACAACCAAGACAGTGTTTTTTCTTTGATATCAAACATAGTATTGACATTTCAATTCAAAAGCTATTTGAAATGTCATATTTAAATTATTTTTATATTCATACCTTCCCATTTTCTATTTTACTTATTTATTTTAAAAAGAGAGTGGTATAATAAATAGCACTTCTGCCTCAGATTGCATCTTTGCCTTCCATCTTGTGTTAAATATTAGAATGCCATAAAATGTCATTGAAGCATATGAGCATAAATTTTGCATATTTAAAATAAACCAGAGTTGTCAATTTTATTATAAAAGAGCTGCCTATTGTTTGATTTAAACAGTGACCTCTCATAGCTATTTAAAATACAATTCAATTAAGTTTATATGGAGTTTCCTAAGAATAAATCTTCTGTTTGATATACAATATAACTGAAGTTGAGGCTTTTTCTGAGCATGAATCTTATCATAAAACCTGTTATTCAGGTGTAACTGAGGTACTGTTATTCAGATGTGATTTTTGAGGTAACTGATCCAAAACATCCTTTGAAGCTGATTGTGGCACATACATGTAATCTCAGCACTCCAGAGGCTGAAGCAGGAGAATCACAAGTTTGAGGCCAGCCAAGGCAACTCAATAAAGCCTTCTTTAAAAAAATAAGTCAAAAATCCCTTCAGCAATCAGAATACCAAATTTCATGGGCTTAGTTCCTAGTGGGAAGCATAACAGAGACAGTAGTGGCTAATCCAGACACCTCAGAAAAGCTCAGTAACCCCAAAGATGAGGAAGTCATAACTGATCAGACCACTAAGAGAACAGAACCCAACTCCTAGGTGACAGAAACAGCATGTCGTTGTGCACCAACATCTTAGCCTCTATTTGCCTCAGAACCCCAAACTTCTAAGCACTGAGCTTCCGTCCATCATTATAGAACATTTCAACAGTTCTCTGGAGTAAAAAGGAAACATGAACTCTGTGCACCATCTCCATCCTCCTGCCTCAGAGCCTTCCTCAGATGTCCAGATTACCTTGAAGTTACTCAGCCATCACATCCCTTCACCTGTGATTCTCCTCTTCTCTCTAAGAGACAAATAATCCTACAAAAACTATAACCACAGCTCTATGATCCCATCCCAAAAATGAATAACAATTCCTTTAGTATCATTTTCTATTTCTTAAGCTGTTTTATTGTTGTTGATGGTGAAAGTTTACATGACTAGATCCAAATCAGGATTTTGCATCATGATTGATTGATTGATAGGTTTCTCACATAGGTCAGCCTCATGTGTTCCCTCCCTTCTTCCCTCACTCCTTCTCTTCCTGCCCCCTTTTCTTTTTTTCCTTTGAGAAGACTTAGCACTTTTTCTGTAATGAACATTTTTTTTCTGTAAGGCTTCCCAGCCCAGATTTTGCTAATCCAACTCCTGAAGTGTCATTAACACATTTCTGTGTACCTGCGTGTTCTGTGTATTAGTGATGAGATCTAGTGGCTTGACTGGGTTCAGAATTAGTTTTTCTTCACAGCCTATTTTATGGCCTGTGTGTGAGTGCCTGTCAGGAGTTCATAAAAATCTGATTAGCCCTCTGATTTGTTTGCTTCTAAAAGCAAATAATACTTTTGCTTTTTAAATTTCTACTTTTTACTTATATGTGCATGCATGCTTGTCTGTATGTGTGTCACATGCTTACAGGTTCTATGAAGGCCAGAAGGGGCATTGGAAACCCTGGAACTGGAGTTACAGGGGATTGTGAGCCACCTAACGTGGGTGCTGGGAACTGAATCAGGTATCTCTGCAAGAGCACTAAGTGCTCTTAAGCACTGAGCCATCTCTGGAGTCCCTACAAATCATTTTAACTATTGAGAACTTCATATTCTAGTGAACTCTCATAAAGTTAAATTTTAATTTTCAATTCAATTGTTTGCCTGAAGCTTTCTAAGAATATATTGTATACATTGTATGTTTTATATAGACATAGCTGGATTTTAGATTTTATAACAAATTTAATTATAAAGTTTGTTATTCTGATTCCATAGTCATAGGAAGAAAGTTGCTATCAAATGTGTTTGTATTTGGAGTGAGGCTTATGACACGGGACCTCTGTACCTTTAAATCATCCTGCACATCTCTCCCAACTCATGTACATTCAGATCACCAGCAGAACCTGACTTTTAAAGGCATGCTTTAAGCAGTGCTTAAAGCACCATTAAACTTAAAACCAAGAGTTGCTAGAATCTTCAGCAAATATCAGTGGCTTCTGGGAATACAGTTGGATTTTAAGGTAATTCTTATACTCAGGACAGAAGACTTTACTTTCATAGTCCTAATATTTGAAATGTTAGCTAGTAATATATTTCCCTCATTTTTTTGTATTTTAGGATATTTTTCTAAAGGTGTAAATAACTTTTCTTTGTAAGTAAAAATATAGTACTGAACATATAAACATGAAAACATGGGTAATTCTTGCAGTAGGGCTGTCCTGGGCATTGGACAGTTTAACAGCATCCTCACCTTCACCCATTCAGCACCTGTAACATTCCCCTTACCATGACAATCAAAACTGTCTGCTGACATTACATCACATGTCCCCAAGACAAAATTAATCTCAGTTGAGAATCCTACTCATGAAGGGGTGGGGTTGGGTGTAGGATGGGGAGGCAGGAAGGACTAAGACAAGAATTAATCACTCTTGCCTTAGTCCAGTCATCACTGCTGATTCCTTCATAGCACAAGAGTGAAGATATTAGGTCAGAAACCTCTGATAACATATGTGCTCACGATAGTGCTTGACCTCACTACTATCTGCCCAGCTGACACTGAGGTGAAATGAAAGGGACACCTGTGTGTCTTGCTTGTTGGGGTTCCTGTTCTCCTGGGCATTGCTTTCCTGCTTGTTCTGCAGATTGATTACTTCAACAACCAGATCATTGTGGACCTCGTGGAGCAGCAGCACAAAGGCATCATTGCAATCCTGGATGACGCTTGTATGAATGTTGGCAAAGTCACTGATGGAATGTTCCTTGAGGCCCTTAACAGTAAATTGGGCAAACATGGTCATTTCTCCAGCCGAAAGGTAATAAGACCTTCCTCTTGAGCTGTAAGATTCCTGCTTATTGTTTGGCAGAGCAACATTGCTTTATTTTAGGTTAAAAGAATGTACAGTCAAATCAAGGGGAAAGGCCTGATGGTCGGTGTATCTCTGTGAGTTCTGCTTGTCTGATACAATGATGAGGGTGACAGAATCATAGTATCCAGGAGAGGGAGCTACAGACTAAGGAATTTGCTAGATGCAGGAAAAATGAACAGGATTCTTTAAAAGCATGATGTCATTTGTAGCCAATAGGTGCTGGAGTCCTTGTCCATGTGCTAGAATTTTATGCCTGAATCTGATAACTCTGCATAAGAAATTGCTTTTGTCCTTGACTTTCCACCACAATCCTCACTGACAAAATATGGAGTGTGTTCTGACTGCATTCTTCAGATCCTAGGACCTGCTTAAAAATGAAAGATTTTAGCTGCAGTTGTGGTTGTCATAGAGAAATGCCTTCTTTCAGTGTATAGAGTAAGCTTCCAAGTCTCCATTCTTTACAATCTAAAAATGTCACAAATAAACCACATTTGTATAATAATTGGGGGGAGTCGTGGTTCTCAGACTTTTGTACAAGACCTAATATGCAGTATGCTTGTCATTCGTGTTTGCTTAGGAGTCTGTATTGGGGAGGGACACCTCATCATAACCCCAGGCTTCCCCACAAATGCATGCTTGTCCAAGAACCAGACGCTGCCAGGAAAACATACCTTGTTCCTTCCCATCCAGAAAGAAATGGGCAGCAGTTCTGTTTCTCTCTAAATCTGCAGTCCATTGCCATTCTGCATGAATAAATCTGCTTCCTAACTCTGTCCCATTTGGAATTATGTAATCTCAATGGAGAAATTCCACCATTAACTATAGAGAAGGTGTGAATCATCTATAAATTGATTATTAACTGACACTTATCTCAGGGCTGTTACTTGTAGCTACAAGCTGGTCTTCAGCTAATGCAGACTGATCTTTGACATTAAGAACCTAGGGCCCTTCAGCAAGTTCCCAGTTATACCCCAAAGGTCTAATTAAGTTCCTCTTGTTCAAACAGGTTTAGTCCTCAGTGCTGGGCACGAAACTGTACAAAGTGGAAAGTAACCTTAGTCACAGTGAGACATTTAGGGGCACCTTTATCTAGGCAAATGGCTGACTGTAAGCGAGTCTAGAGATGTCATCACAAGTTGTGGAGATTCATCTACTGATGTACCTTCTGAATACTAGCCAGTCAGTGTTGGTGAAATTATATCAATTTATCATACCAAATAAATCTTTCTTAAATTGTTTATATTTACATAGATATCTATAAGTCTCAAAAATGATACTCCAAATTATTATTCTATCTTTTACCATGGCCATTTATATAGCTGAATTAAAATTGGTCAGGAAAAAATATTTTTTTTTCATTTTATTTTATGTGTATGAACATTTTGCCTGCATGTATGTGTACCAGTTCATACAAGCGCCCTAAAAGACCAGGAGACAGCATCAGATACCCTCAGCCTAGAGTTGTGGGAAGTAGGACTTGAACCCAGTTCCTCCAAAAGAGTAGCCAGTGCTCTTAATGACTGAGCCATCCATCTAGCCCTTCAAGCATTTTTGAAATGTAATCTTATTTTCTCTTTTTTTGAGATGAACTCTAGCTCTGTGTTGCTCAGGCTGACCTCAGACCTCTGGGCTCTGCTGATCCTTGGCCACTCAAGTGACTAATGATGGTATGGCATGCCAAAACACTAAGCTGTAATCCTTCTCCTTAAGCAACTGAACATCTTGTGTTTAAACACTTGCTACTGATTTGGTAGGAAATGCTAAATAGTAATTTATGTAGTGATTGATTTCTTTCTATTTATTTATTTCCTTCCTTATTACTCTTTTGGTGGAAGTCCCAGTTTCCCAGCAGACCAAGTACCTACTTCTTTTTCCTTCTCCTTCACTATCCCTTGGATAAATATGAGATGAAAATACTTAAAGTGTATTCTTTGGGGGAATTTGTATACATGTGGTATGTGTGTATGTCTGTGTGCAAGCATATGTGGAAGTCAGAGGTCAATGTCCTATATTTTCTCTATTACTCTCCAACATTTTAAAAATAATTTACATTTATTTATGTAAATAAATAATGTATATAAATATAAATGCATGCCTTGACACACGCATGGAAGTCAGAGGACAACTTGCAGGAGTTAGTTTACCCACTTGAGCCATGCCACTGGCCTTCTAGTTTATTTCTTGAGACAAGTTATCTCACTGAGCCTGGACCTCCCTGATTGAGGTATCTTAACTGGCTAGAAAGCGTCAGGTATCCTCCTGTCTCTGCCCTATTAGCAGTAGGATTACAGACATCACTGTACACAACTTTTATGTAATTACTAAGGATCCAAATCAAGTCCTCACCAACCGAGCCATCCCCCAGCCTCATCTTCTGAGGAATTTTACCTAATAAAGGAAAGAAATGAAATAGCCAAGCTGTCAGGATGCTTAAATCCCCTCATACCTTTTGGTTAAATAATCCCATTGGGTTGTATGTTGAGCCAGGTATCATTTGCTACTGCTAACTGATCAGACAGACTTACTGGCTTATTAAATAAAACGTTGATGGCTTTTATTTGGGTCTAAAAATCTTCCTATTGCATTAAAGGTACCATGGAGAGGCAGTCACATGATCCAAACAACTATAAAATATTTTAAAATAAAAAGCTAAATAATAAGTATATAACAGTACCAAGAAAAAGTTAATGGATGTGTGTGTGTGTGTGTGTGTGTGTGTGTGTGTGTGTGTGTGTGTGTTGAGGACAATCACAGCTTTGCATTTTATCCAAATATAAAAATGACTCATAATTTGAGTCTTACTCCTTCAGGAATTTTACAAATTAAAAGATATTTCAAAAAGACGGAGGTCAGGGTAGGCAGGTAGGCTAGAGAGAGTGCATACTGGCCTTGTGCATACTGGCCTAGCAGAGAAGCAGAGTTCAGTTCCCAGAACCCATGTCAGGCAGCTCACAACTGCCTTAACTCAGATCCAGGACATCTAAAACCCCCTTCTGGCCTCTGAAGGAACTCACACTCACAATGCACAAACCCTCATAGGCACAATTAAAAATAAAAGTGCAGCTTGAGAGATCTGGAGGAGGATATAGTTTGGAGACATCTTTATGCTAGATACTTTGGTCCCCAGATTTACTTAACTCTCTTCTTTCTCAGGTAAATATTTAAAGAGACAGAGTAAACCTCTGACTTCCTATAATTCTTCATTTGTGAAACTCTTAGACATCGTTCCTTTAGCATCTGAAGCCTGCTGACTTGGATAGGATTGTGTGCGGTATGACACTGTCATCTAAGTGGTACTAGTATTACAGTACTAAGTGGTACTGTGTAGGTTTTTACTTGTCTACCTGCCTGGCCTCTACTTTAGCAAAGAAAGTTGGAGGAAGTCATGAACAAATCCAGGGAATATAAAGCCTGCCATTTCACAAAGTATTCCCCTTCATTGATAAAGAGGATTTATCATTTTATTTATTTTTGTGAAGAGCATCTAAGCTGGACCCCAGCTCAGCAAGCAGATGAGCCAAGACCCTGTATACATGAAGACATGTTTCTTTCTGTTTCTGGAGCCTTTCTAGGGCTACTCCTTACTAGAAATTTGATGTAGTGTTATCTGTCTACCTCACTGAGCTTCAACCATGTATGTGAGAGAGACATTGTCATACTCTAAGAGTAGATTATATGGACTGTGATATGTATGTGCCTCACAGACAACAAGCCTTCATTGTGATCCTCCCAAGTGGAACATGGAAGAGAAAGATTCAAGTGTCAGAAGCATGCACAGTGCATGTCTGTTTCTCAGAAAGCCATATTTCTTCCATTGGCTGTTCCACCTACTAGGAACCAGCCTTTATATCCAACTAAATAAAGAGCATCATTTGTCATCCCCTGACCACACTGGGTATGGAATAGCCACAGTTCATATGCATTGTCCAGAGCTAGCCAATTGACCATATTGACTATTAGAGCAGCCAGCAAATGGAGGTTAGTTGTGTGCTACATGAATCTCTGCCAAAAGCCTTTACCTTGTCACCTGTGGATTTAAACAAACCCCACAGAAAGGGGTCTTATTTAGGTATTGTAATTTGTGATGTTTGGTCATATTAAGTTAGAATGTTCTTTTAGAAGTTGAAAATGTCTTTTTTCAAATGTGTGTCCTTTATCTCTTAGACCTGTGCCTCAGACAAAATCTTGGAGTTTGATCGGGACTTTCGAATCCGGCATTATGCAGGTGACGTGGTGTGAGTATCTATTCTGGTGCCTAGCATGATGATTTGCATGCAGTCTCTCTTCAGAAAATAATACTAGGAAACTATCAGTTATCTTTCTTTTCGCGTGTGTATGAGGGGGGTCATTTTGTAGATCAGCATATTTTAGTCTCTTGATTTGAAGAAAATGGCATAGTCTCATTTCTTCCTTGCTTCTCAGACATTTGGGTTGAGCATATGTTGTGTGACTGTGTACTTCCTGGTGTGGTTGGAACTCAATAAAAGTGAACTAGTGTTATCAATAAACCTTGGAAACAGGGGTTTATTGGTTAGGGTCTACCGTAGACACACAGATAAGATAGATTCTGCCCGAAGGAAGCCAGCAGATTAGTGAATACAAGTAGATACATCCATGTCACAGGAAGGGAGGAAAGGTCTAAGCTGGGGAGGCACTCAGCATCATGGGAGCAGTGAAGAGTCTGGAGAAATCTTGCTGGAGGAGACAGTGTACAAGTCCAGCACCATTAAGTGAAAGCCTGGAGATAGGAGAGAGTGAGGGGCAAGGAACTGCAGAGCACCCAGTGTCTGCAGGGCTTTTACTATATTATTGTCAGATAGTGTCTGAAAATAGAATTCTTATTTTTTTAAATTGTTTATTGCCTTACAATAAAAACAGCAATTGACAAATACCAAATGGTGTGAAAATTACCTTGGTATGTTAGGTTCCAGGTGCTCCTGTATCAGACTGTCACAAACCAGTGACTTAAACAGCAGCCACCTAGGTTAGGGATGCAGCTTAGTGGTAAAATGTTCACTGGCATAGGCGAAGCTCCCAGCACCACAAAAACAACAAACACAGAGGCACACATGTCAGTTTTCGTAGCTTCATAGTTCAGGAGGCAGGAAGATCAAAACTGGGCAATGACAGGCTACACCTGTCCCAGAAGCTTCTCTTGGGAAGAAGCTGCCCCCTTTCCACCTTTTGATGCTATGGACATTCCTTGGCTTCTGGCTTTACCTCCTGTGGCTGCTCCTTGTCCATTGCTTTCTCCTGAGTGTTAACTCTCCCCTCCGTGTAAAAAGGACTTGGTGGCCATTTATGGCCCCCAGTCGCATATTGGATTAGTTTCTTCTTTCAAGATCCCTAACAAAATCACATCTCTTTACCATAGAAGACAGCATTCCCAAGTTCAGTATGGGAGTTCTTTTCCCAAGGGATGGTGGTGTGACTGTCACTTGGTATGGGGATCATTGTTCAGACTGTATTTGTTATGTCTCACTCTTCATTGAACCCTAGTCTTCATTGTTCCTTAACATTTAAAGAATTCTACCTTTTCCTTATTTATTATGTTAGGAATTCTTCCCACGTAACCTATTACAAGAAGAGATTAATCTAGACAAAAGCAAATGGTTATCTTTATAAATGCTGGAAAGACATTTAAAGAAACTTTAATAGCTATTTCTGACTAAATTAATAATCCAGAATCATAAAACTATATGAGTCTAAATTAGAGTCCGTCAAACTAGCCATCATTGCAAGATGTCATCATCACCCACCCTTCCGACCCTATGTCCAGGATTTAGAGTGCTGAGTAAGGAAGTCCAGCTCCACTGAGATGCTTCCCACTAGGATAAGCCCAAGCCTTATCCCAGGCTGCTGTTTGATGAACAGGGTGGTGTAAAGGGCAGAGCTGGACAGAGGCCTCTGCCCCCAGGTCCTCTCATTTTATAGAGAAATCAACTTCAACAGAACAAGTAGACATCTGGCCCAAAGCCTCATGTCATATTTATTGGAGAACTGAGGCAGCAACTAGGTTTCTAGGCTCCTGGTCCAGAGTTCCAACTGGCATTCACTGCCTCAGGCTTCTCCTCTAGCCTTCAATCCTCTACTGGGTTTTTATGGATTATCTTCTAGATTCCCAATACTTTATAGGGTATGGTATCTGACCACAAGGTGCTTTTCATACAAGATGTACATATACGCATGTGATTAAATGTATATTTAAGCATAAATATGCACATGTACATATACATATGTATGCATAAGAAAAGATAGGTTATAATCATTTCCATATGAGTCACAGCAAGTGTTGTGACAAACTCTGAGTAAGAAAACACTGTAATATTTTTAGGTGTTGTGGTACGCCTGAGGAGGCTGATGCTGCTAGGCTCTGAGTGCTAGGAATTATTTTTATAGGATGAAGTGGGAAGGGTGGTGAAAAAATATTCAGGAAGTAACAGGGGTGTATCCATTCTTGCTATACAGATTGGAAAGCCTGGAAAAGGAGACAAGATCAAATCACAGTGAAGCTTGAACACTGTACTATGGCCTTTGAAATTCAACCTGTGTGGGCTTAACAATAGATTGAGAGTAGGGGAGCTCACGTGTTTAGTTAAAAATGACAGGAAAGAGTTAGGAAGAAGATTTAGGTCAGGCAGGCAGCAAAATAATTTTGGATGTGGCGGCCTTAAATCCCTGTGGATAGCACACCTGGGATGATTTTTTGTTTTGCAAAATTAAATATGTAAGGTTAAAGGTCAGGGTTAGGGGCCTGAGAAGTATCGATGTGATTGTCAAGTAGAAAACAGAGACAGGCAAGAGAGCAGAACTGCTAAGGTGGAGTCTAGAGTTACTGTGTGCTGTCACCTAACCCCTACCTACTCACCCAGAACCCTGGTTACTCTTTTACCCCAGCACAGAGTGGCTTCCTCCTGTAGAGGCCTTTCCAGTCACTGCAGCAGTGCAGTTCCCCTGCCTGGGCTCTTCTCACCAACTGCCATCTTAGCTGGTCTTTTAAAGCCTTGCTTTCTGCCTTCCCTGTGACGGTGAATAGTGGGCTTGTCTCTCTGTAATGCTCCTGCATGTGCCTGCTTCCAGCCCTTCATCCTGCCTGTTGCCCCTCGTTAGCTGCCGGTACTTGTCCTCTCTGCTTACCCAGTTCTTACCATCCTTTGCAGTTCTCCTTGGACTCTCTCATACCCTGCACATTGAGTGGTACTTAGGCAAGTCACTTGACCTCCCCACGGATGGGACAATTAGTTCCTGTATGCAGCTGTTTTGCTTTTATCTTAGGAGTGCTGGATGATAAATACAGCTATCTATTTTGAAGCCATCTCTTTGAGGTAAGCTAGCCAGTAGAAAATGATATTCTTAGAACAATGGAACTGGTGTCTACTTCCCTCCTGAAGAAGAGAAGCAGAGTAGTTTTTATTTAGTATGCAAGGTCTGGCTTTTACCTCAGAACTAAGTGAACCGGTTGTACAGAAATCTAATTGCAAAACTAATAGCAGAAGACCTGTACACACCAGGGAAGCCCAGGTATGGCTCTTACATGGCAATGATGCTTGTGCTTTGTTCTCTCCCCAGCTATTCTGCCATCGGTTTTATTGACAAAAATAAAGATACTTTATTTCAAGATTTCAAGCGCCTCATGTATAACAGGTATGATTGTTACCTTTACTTCAAGCTCTTTGACATACATTGCAGTGTATATGTGTATGCACATGATTCCTTTATGTGACAATTTTAAGAGTTATTAGCAGACTTTTCTGCATTGCTCTGCTTAATGTATGAAAAATATATATGACCTCAAGATAATAAGATCTGTAGACTTGGGGCGGGGGCTGCTAATACCAGTAATATTTGCCCTGATTCTCCTTGATAGGTTGTCTCTGTTTTCTCTGTCCACTGCTACCAGCCTTCTGGCACTATGTACCAATGTCCTCAGTAGTTTCAAAGCCAGGCCAGAGGTAACTAGTGTCAAGTAGCCTCTGGTCCACCTCAAACTGTTCCTTACTCAGATTCCCACAGCAGAGTTTTTGCACCCATGTATCAGGCACTCTTCTCAGGCTGACACCTGGCATCAAAAAGCCATGGTCCTGACTGACCAGCAGAATTCCCTGACAAACCACCTAAAGACAGAAAGCTATATAGAACAAAAACAGACAACAGATGGAACTTTAAACCCAGTATGGAGAGAAGGTTCCGGAAGGCAGAAGAGGCATCTTGACCATTATTCTGTAGATTCATGTAAGCCTAAGTAATTCCCCAATAGATTACAAGATTATATTATATACCTTTGAGTCACACGTTCTTCTATGCTCTGAGATACAGCTGGGGAAACAGTTTGGAAACCACTCTTTTTCTAATAATAAATAAATAACTTTCAGAAAAAGTAGGTGAGATTAAGAGTAGAGGTACAGGGGAGGCATTAAAAATAGGACAACTCTTACAAGAGGCAGCATCAAGCAGACACTTATATGAAGTGAGGGAGGAACCACACTGCTACCTGGAGGAGAGTATTTCAAGCAGAGAGAACAGCTGGTCCAAGGCCCCAAAGAAGGAATCCACTGAGAGTATTGACAGCAAGAAGGCTGTATGCTAGAAACAGTGGGAGATGGGGAGAATGGTAAGAGTGAATTTAGAGAGCTGGACAGGACCAGAATCACAGTCTGAGAGCCAAGGTAATAACAAGGATGGAGAGAGGAAGCCATTGCAAAGCATGATCTCTGGTGATTTTTACTAAGGAGATTACTAGTGCCACTGTGTAAAAAATATAGTCGCAGGCAAAAATGGAGCTAGTGAGACCAGTTGAGGCTGGCTTAGCAATGACAAGGTGAAGAAGAGTCAGACCAGGTGATATTCAGAAAGGAGAGTGGAGCTGTGAGCTGATGAGCAGCCAGAACCCAGTTGTGATGCTGGAGCCTATATGGCAATGTATGTTTTGAATGTGGAAGTCCATACTGTACCCAATGAAATGCCCACTGCAGAATCTCATCTGCATCTCCAGAAAGGCGGGGCTGGAAGTGCCTCTCCATGTTGGTATGCTGGTTATATTTAAGACCATGAAACTAGAAGAGTTACCCAAGGAACAAGTAGATTTAAAAATAACAGTAAAGAAAAGGTAGGGTAAAAATAATTGATCCCTAATGGTCCAACATTTAGTGAAAGAAAACTGAGGGAACTCTACAAGATAGAAGAAAAACACAAATCCAGTGTCCTTCTTAGAAGGAGTAACAAAATACTCAAAGGAGCAAAAATGGAGACAAAGTGTGGGACAGAAACTGAAGGAGGGGCCGTCTGAAAATCATTCCACCTGGGTATCCATCCCATGTGCAGTCACCAAAGGTAGACGCTGATGTGGAAGCCAGGAAGTGCATACTGACAGGAGCCTGATATAACTGTCTCCTTAGAGGTCTGCCAGAGTCTGACATATTCAGAGGCAGATGCTCACAGCTAACCATTGAACTGATCAAGGGGTTCCCAATGGAGGAGTTAGAGAGAAGACTGAAGGAGCTGAAAAGGTTTGCAACCCCATGAGGAAAAGATATAATACCAACCAATCAGGGCTCCCAGGGTCTAAACCACCAGCCTGGGAGCACATAGGGAGGGACTCATGGCTCCAGCTGTATATGTAAGGGAGGATGGCCTTGTCAGGCACAGGTGGGAGAGGAGATCCTTGGTCCCATGAAGGCTGGACGTGGAGTGTGGGAGAATTTGAGGGTGGGGAGGTGGGAAGAGGGAGGGGCACATCCTCATAGCAGCAGGAGGAGGGGGGATGGGATGGGGGTTCCTGGGCAGAGGGAGGGGGAATGGGGTAAGGGGATAACATCTGAAATGTAAATAGAATATCCAATTTTTTAAAAAGATAGAAGAAAAACACAAATCCAGTGTCATAGAGGCCCAGCAGGGGGTACTTTAAGAAAATAAATAAATAAATAAATAAATAAATAACACAGTGGTACTCAGTAGTTAAGAGCACTTGTTCTTTCAAAAGATCCCACATGAGACAGCTCACAACCAACTAAAACTGCAATTCCAAGGGCTCTGGTACCCTCTCTGGACCTACATAAGTACTGCATACATTCAGTGTGTGTATATTCAGGCACATAAACATGGAATAAATAATCTCTTTTAAAACAGAAGAAAACAGTAAGAAACAATATCAAATAAAAAACAAAAATGGTGCCAAGATTAGCCAATTGTATTTGCTCATGGGATAACTCACTGGATTCTTGAAAATACTGATTTCCGGGCAGTGATCAAGACAAATGTCTGATCAACATGGGCTTGAGAGAGAACAGAAAATGAAAAGATTTTCACAAGATGTTTAAATAATGCTTTCAAGATCTTTTGGTCTAAAATGGTTTGTCTGTAGATGCTGAAGTCACAAAGAATGAGAACAGAGCTGTCAGCAGTATAAAGTTGCAAACACATCGAAATAGGAAAGCAAGTCCATGCAGGAGCTGGGCATAGGAGAACATGACTTTCAGAAAAGAAAGTCAGTGTTCAGTTTGTCAGGTGGTGTGCACCCATTTGAGGAACAACTGGCAGACTCTAGCATTTCTCTATAGAAAATGTTACACTGGAAATATAACCACGTTTGACCAGTGATAATGTCACAGTATGCTGTCAAGCTTGTGTCCAAAAAGGAACACAAAATGGTACTTGTTATATTTGTGCATTTCTCATGGCCCAGAAAATCAGCTGACAGAGTAGCACCTCTCAGTGTAGACTAATGTAGCCCAGGATCACAGCCCCAGGGTAGAAATGAAGTTAACACACGGATATATTTCCTGAAATATTGAACAGCTACACAGGGTGCACTCCTTACATTGGTCTGACAGGTTGTTTTCTATTGGAAAAACCTGCTTGGGAAGCCAGACAGCAGTGGGAACTTGCTTACTAATTGACAATGAAAAATAGTACCCACAGAAGCTAGTCTGCTTGTGTGCTTGGTAAGCACAGAGTTAGAACAAAGGAACTTAGACTGGGCCAAGGTGAGTCCATTTTATCATCTTCCAGAGCAGTGAAAAGATTAAATGTCTGCTCAGTGCTGCTTACGTCATGTATCTGTAATAGGAAAGACTTTGCAGTGAGGTAGCCTTTAGATGAGACACGTTGACCCACAAATACTTTTTGATGTTTCTGTGGCTGACCAACCTCCCAAAATCTGAATGCATCCTTTATTTGTGTATGTCAATGTGACCCTTGGCTCTCTAGTTCTTTAGAGCCCAACAATTGCACATACACACAGGAGTGATGTGTATGTTCACTCTTGTGCACATGTGTCTGTAAACGGAAGAGTGGAGCCGGCAGATTGTCTGCCAAGTGCATGAATTTTTCCTCGTTCTTGTTGCTCACATCTTCCTTACCTTTTATACATTCTAGGTTTCTGGCTTTGTTTCTCTTACTTTAAAGAAAAAAAAAATCTAGGTGCTGGAGAGCTTGTTGCTTTTCCAGAGGACTGGAGTTAAATTCCTAGTACCCATATCAGGTAACATACAAGTATTTATCCAAGTATTTAAGATATCTAAAAAAAATTGTTTGGAGCTAGAGAGATAGCTCAGAGGCTAAGAGCACTGACTGCTCTTCCAGAGTTCCTGAGTTCAATTCTCAGCAACCACGTGGTGGCTCACAACCATCTGTAATGGGGTCCAATGCCCTCTTCTGGTGTGTCTGGTGTAATGTAAGCTTACATACATTAAATAAATAAATAAATAAATAAATAAATAAATAAATAAATCTTTAAAAAAAACTATTTGATAATATTGTATAAATGACTTTCTGGCCTGAAAATTCTCTCTTTAAATGACCATGTCTATTTGGATTCTTTTTATATCATTTCTAATGTGATATATAATCATATTTTCAGTCCTCTTCTTCCCTTTCACTTACAACATTGTATGAGAATAGTCTCCAGTTCCAACCAGCAGTAAAAAAGGTAGAGGAAGAATTTGGGTCAGAACTGCCTAGGTCTAAACAACAGTGCTCCGAAGTCCTCTTGCACATGGATAAATTCTTGAAGTACATTACACACAGTTTTCTACCATCTGGAAACCCTGTTTAGTAGGTGTTTGAAAGGCACTGTAGGAAGCCCGTACACCAGAACATCATTTGAATTACTTCTCTGCTAAAGGGAAGAAAGGAAAAACAGTGTGCTTTTATATGTTCATTTTTATAAGGGTATGACTGGAAATGACAGGCTAGCACCGTACTGTGATCAAACTATCCTGATCCATTTCCCGGCTGCATGGATGGTAGTTGGTCCTCCACAGTGGTGATGTTGGAAGCGTTGTCCTCTCTGGGCACACAGCCAACCTCACATCACCCCTCTGCCCCCAGCATCATCCATTCTTCCGTTTCACAGTGATCGTTTTGTGCAGGTGTGAAACACATTCACAGCGTGCTTTGGAGAACCAACTCAGTCTTCCACAAGGGAAAAAAAATGGACAAGGTGCAGAGGAATAAATACAATTAATTAGCAGTGAATGCTTGTTCATTGTTGTCTTTGCTAACCCCAAATTTGTCAGAAAAAACAATCTGACAAGACAAAAGGTCTCACAGCGAAGCAACATTTCCAGCCCCAGCTATTTTAAAGTACAAAGCACCCAAAGGGAGACAGAAGAAAATCACAGCTGAGGCACTATACATATTTTATGAGAAAAAAATCTCCACAAAGTCAAGTAACAAATCTGTGGTTTCAACATGGAATTGGCCTGACGTCCATTTTTAGATTTGGGTCACAGTAGCCCTACTATGATATTAATGTTGTGCTAGAACCACTAGCACTGCCTGTGAGTGTGTTCATTAATCCAGGAAAATATCAGAACAGCTATGTCCATATCCCTCGCCAAGTATTGGTTACCTATAGAAAATGTTTTCCTTCCCTGTTGTCTGCCATGGCATGAGAACCATTTCCTGCTAGAGACTTGTCTTCATTTTCTTGGTCATTACAGAAACATTCCACAGGTTTTGTGTGTGTGTGTGTGTGTGTGTGTGTGTGTGTGTGTGTGTGTTTATATAAAATAAGTGTACTGGGTGGTTTGTGTGTCAACTTGACACAAGCTGGAGTTACCACAGAGAAAGGAGCCTCCCTTGAGGAAATGCCTCCATGCTATAAGGCATTTTCTCAATTAGTGATTAAGGGTGAGAGGGTCCATTGTGGGTGGTGCCATTCCTGGGCTGGTAGTCTTGGGTTCTATAAGAAAGCAAGCTGAGCAAGTCAGGGGAAGCAAGGCAGTAAGTGACATCCCTCCATGGCCTCTGCATCAGCTCCTGCTTCCTGACCTGCTTGGATTCCCAAGCCTGACTTCCTTTGGTGATGAGCAGCAATGTGGAAGTGTAAGCTGAATAAATCCTTTCCTACCCAATTTGCTTCTTGGTCATGATGTTTGTGCAGGAATAGAAACCCTGACTAAGACAATAAGGTACATATGTATATGTATATTCTGAGAGCCACATTATCTATGCAAGAGATCTACACAGTAATTTAATGGATGTCACTTTAAAGAAGTTTAAAGGATTTTTTTAAAGTTCCACAGTTTGAAAATTGTCTGTGGTGCAATATTCGTCATGGTGTAACCATAGTTTTCTAATGCAACAGTCTTCCCAGTTAGGCTTTGTGAATCCCATGTTCAGTGCACTGTGATCCTAGGACACACTTGACAGCATGGATTGCCTTTTTTATTCCCCTTATTTAAATGCAGCTTCTGACTCATTCTTTCTGTTTCTCAGCTCAAATCCTGTGCTGAAGAACATGTGGCCTGAAGGCAAGCTGAGCATTACAGAGGTGACCAAGAGGCCTCTGACTGCTGCCACCTTGTTTAAGAATTCCATGATTGCTTTAGTAGACAACCTTGCTTCAAAGGTAATTCTTCTCCTTTCTAAATGTCCTTTATAATCCATAAATTCCCTCTTAACATACATTAACATATATTAGAGAACACATGTTTGATTTACTTTTTAGGTAATTATCCTTAAGTTGAACAGTGTATATTCAAAGTGAACAATAAAAATTTTTTCCTGCTTTTTAAAAAAAAAAAAAACTTGACTAAAGTAATTGTATCCCAGATGAATTCCTTTATAAAACATTCTATTCTACCATTAAGGTCAAGGGGAAACTGCCATTGTGGTTTCAACTAGATGTACGGCATACCATACCTGGAAAGATAAACTAAATCTGTGCTGGAAAGTAGGGCATGGCCAGAGAGGGAGGGACAGGAGGTGGGGACAGCTGAATGTAGCTGTAGTCGTGCACCATCCATCCTGTGTGAGTAGCAAATGGCCAGAAGGAGTTTAAACAAGAATGTAGCTTCTAATTGTTATCCTCACATTGCATTAGATGGACTATACGCATGATTCGTGACAATTATTTCTAATTCTTGCTGTTGCTTTGATTGTAATCTTGTCTGATAAGTTGAGTCTGGTTATTTTTCCATTTTATTTTTAAGTACAGCTTTTATTTTCTCCTCCCTTAAAGAGCAGATTTCTGTTCCTAACTGCTGCTCTTGACAGGTTTGATAAATTAGCAGCGCTCTAGGACTCATTATTTTTAGCTCCTTTATATCTTTCTCTTCTGGTAATTGTATTGTATGTTTTCTTCTTTATTGTTATCTTTTTAAAAATCTATTTTCCTTGTGAAAGAATTCATTTGCATCTGTACTTCACCTTGGCTACAGTAGGCAAATACTGCAAGTGCACATCTGTGCAGTAGCTTTCCATGGTTCCCACTGTTATTCCTGGGCTTCAACCGATAGCCAATAAGCTCAGTCCCTCCTCTTGTAGAACTAACTTTCCAGAAAGACAGAAGAATGAGCATGAAGGCCAGAATGCCATTCACACCCTGAGCCTCTGTCTCTGTACTCTTTATGTCCTCTTTAATCTGCTGCATCCAGTAAAGAAGTAAACCTAGAAAGAAGGCATACGACGCAGGAAAGAGATGCTGCTCCAGCAGGCACTTATACTCATTTAACGAGTGAAAGAATCACTGTTCTCAAAAATGGATAAATATATATCTGTCATCTCAGGAAGACTGACAATGTAAGGCCTGCTTAGGCTGCACAGCAAGTTCCAGGTCAGATTCGGCTACACAGGGAGACTGTATCAAAAACAGGAAACTATGAAAACCTAATTCCAACCTTTTCTAATACATCAAAACAAGCCTGTACCCAGGGAATAGGAAATATATATTCCTTTCAAGTATAAATGAAATCCTTCTCAAGAATTGACCACATGCTGGGTCACAATGACACAACTATTTTGAAGACTAGATAGACAGTTCCATTCTCTATCCTCAAAGCAAGTTATCTAATTGTGCCTGAAAACTCTGAAATAAAATGCTTTTCTAAATAAGTCACAGACTTAAGAGAGTATCACAGCGAAATTATAAACTATCTGGGACTGCTTGACAAAGCACTGATAACATTTATAAGATGTCAGCATTTGATACACCTTTATAAAGCAACAAGGATGGATAAAAGTAGGTAGGTTCAACTCAAAGCCCAGAAGAGAAACTCAAAAGAGAAGAAAATAATTTTAATAGCAGAAATTAACCATAATGGAGAAACCAAAAAACTAGTAAATAGAGAAAACCTCTAATAAAACTGATTTTAAAAACCAACAGCTTGAATGGAAGGCCATTATAACCTCTGATACTAGAGGTCAGTGTGTCGGAATAACTGACTGCTGACACATTTTAAAATTTAGTTTGCTAGAAACATGTTGTTAAAGTTGATTCAAGATGAAATAGAAAGTCAGAATAAAACAGTAACCTTAAGAATTCTGAATCACTAATCAGAAGTCTACTGCCCTCCAACTCCTCCAAGAGCATCAGGTCTGACGATTTCAGTTACCGTTTATAAACTTTAATATCGGCACCTGTCAACTGTATGAGAGGTGTGAAGAGAGGACACTCATTTTACAGGAGTTTTGTTACAGCAATACAAGGTTGATATGAGAAAATAAGAGGTTGGTTGAATGTAAGAACACAGACAAAAGATCCTAAAAGTATGTATGAAAGTTGTCTTTTCTGGTAGCATAATAAATTCAGAGCCTACTAAAGATACCTGAAACAACACAAGTATTAAGTAAGTTCTTCTAAAAATCAACTTTCTAATGCCAACCAGAAACTAGTAAACTTAAGGAATAGTAAACCAGGGGCTATGTAAATATAGAGATTGACTGGGTGGAAGGACAGCCTTAGAGCTGCCTTCTCACCTGAGGGTGATTTGTCAGCATTCCCGTCTAGGTTCTTGAACTGGAATCTTGGGCTTACCCAAATTAAACTGATAACACACACTCACACATACACACACATATACATACACACACATACATACACACACACACACCCCTACAATGATTTATATCCCTAAAAGACCACATCTAGAATGAGCTAGAAATAATCCTCCATTGTCAGTGAGGAAACTGCCTATCTTAGTCTTTGACACTTAGCCAAATGGTGTCAGGTGTTGGAAGGCAGCAAGTCTTTCTCAAGAATATGTAATTATAAGCCAGCTTTAATGAGATTCGCAGCCCATGTTCACACTACCTGAGGAGGCTTAAAAAGGTTAAACCCAGCAGTTTAGTTTAAGGGAGTCCAGGTCTTGTATTGCCTCAAGCTTCTGAAAAAAAGAAAACACAATTATTTTCTTGAGGGTATCACCTTCATAACAGACCTTAAAGACTTTCTACAAGGAAAATAGGAGCGCACTGTGACTATGGGGGGTTAGGGGGTGGGTTTATCCTCAGGAGAGATGGCTCAGCGATTCAGAGCATTTGTTGCTCTTTCAGAGGACCCAGGTTCAATTCCCAGTACCCACATGATGACTCACAACCATGGGTTATTCCAGTTCCAAAGAAACTGACACTCTCTTCTGTCTCCTGTGGGCACCAAGAACATATGTGGTCCCATGCCTATATTCAGGCAAAATACTCATAATACATAACATAAATAAATAATGAAGGATTTTTTTAAGTGACTTCAAGATATCATATGCTAGAGTGGAATTAAACAGCAGGCCCAGGTGACAACCCCTGCTCCTGGAACAATCACAAATGTAGTCCACAGCTGGGGAGACGGCTCACTGGGCTCAATCATGAGGATCTTAGTTCCAAACCCAACACCCATGCCAAAGCTGAGTATGGTGGTGCATCTTTGTCAACCTAGTGCTAGAGAGAAGAGACAGACATCCCAAGGGGCTCACAGACAGCCATTCTTACTGAAAGTAAGATCCAGGTTCTGTGAAAGACTGTCTCACAAAATAACATGAAGGAGTTATTAAGGACAACATCCTACATCAACCTCTGGCCTTTACATGCCTACTTACATGTATGCATGCATATACATATGCATGTGTGTGCGCGCACACACACACACACCAAAATTCAAAATGTTTAGTGAAGAGCCTGGAAATATAAGAAAGAACAAGTAACTAGACAAGTTACAGAAATAAAGCTGAACAAAAAAATTAGTAAAAATTAAAAAGTTCAAAATTATCTTGGATTACACTTAGAGCCATAAAATAATGAACACAACTAGCATGCATGTACTCAGGTATATGGAAAGGGAGGAACACAGAGCAACACTTGAAGAAATTTACCCATGAATTCTAAGACTGTTATAAGACACCACACTCTAAGCAAGCCAAGAAGCCATGCTGACCCCAAGCTGGGAAAGTTAAAGGAAATCTGATGTGACACCTAGTGAAGTCCAGAGCCTAAAAAGACAAAACAATGTGTTTGCTTTTGTTGTGTGGATAACAGGCTCTTCCTCTGTGGCTTGGGCTGTCCTGGAGCTCTCTTCCGCTGAGAATAAGCTGGAATTCATGATCTTCCTGTCTCCAGCTCCCAAGTACAGAGATTATATGTGAGCACCACCACACCTGCTTCAGAGACAAGTCTCTTAACAGCAGCCAGAAAAGAGATAGGTTAGCTTTGAAAGAATACTAATCAGGCAGAGTGAAAAGGATTTAACTAGAATTCCATACCCAAAGAATGTTTTTTCCACAAACAAAGACATAAGAAAAACTCTTGCTGGAAAGAGAAGCTGAGTGTTTACCAACATTAGAAGCTCACTAACAGTAGTGAAGATCTGCACCAGGATCCAGAAGCAGCCTGGCATCTGCTTCTTGGCTTCTGGTCTGGGCCAGAGCTTTCCTTACTACCTTACAGTAGTGGTTGGAAGAGGCATTTCCCCATCTTTTCTCCTCTGCCTTTCAGGATTTCATTGGAAAGTTGATGAGTACTACCTAGTCAATTTTGCAGAAGTAGAACTCCATGGAACATTTCTCCACAGTGTTTTAAGTGTACTATCTCCTCTCTCTGCCTAGAATCTAGGCTCTAGAATATCTTTAAATGCAGAGAATAGGCCCTACTTTATGTACATCTCGATGGCTCTGTAAAATGCTACCAACAGATGATCAGTAAGTTATTAAATGAATTTGAATATGCCTTGACTGTTTGACAGTGTGCAAAACAGATCAAATAGATGTATACTGAAGTGCATTAACTTCTAGCTAATGCATGCACCATTTGGCATACTTTTACAAATTATATTTTCCACATAAAACCTAAGGAGACAGGTTAAGAGAATGAGATCACTATGAACTCCAGGAGTTTAGCCTTTATACAACACTGAGTTTGTCAAATTTAGGGTTGCTTAGGCTGAATCAGTCTTGGTATTTATAAGTGAGAGAGGAGGTGGCATTTATAAGCTGAGACAGAGTGCTGATTAAATATAGAAAAAGTATTCCCACTAGATTCTTTATTCAGTGACTTACATCACTAAGCAGGAGGAAAGGGCTTCCCTACTTGTTGATTGGTTGTTAGTGTCTTGTGGTGGTGTTTCTGCTTCCTGTGTGCTATTGCTCAGTGCAGTGTGATTCCACTTATCAATAAAGTCTCAGGTTTGGCCTCAGATGATTCCTTGCACTGATTGCTGTGTCCACATCACTGCATATAGACACAGTTCAAAGTATTTCCTAATTCACCTCATAATTCCGACCTCTGAGTCATCAATAGTATGTTTCTTAATTCCAAAGCATGAAGGTTTTCTAATTATCTCTGTTCCTCCTGATGTCTAACTTTAGCATTTCACCAGAGGATATCCTTAGTGTGATTCGTATCCTTAGAAATTCATTAAATTTATGTTTCATTTATGTTTTGTTTGTATTTAAACATACCTTATATTCAGTATTCTGTGCAAGTTACAGTAGATCAAGTTTGGCTATCAGATTGTCCAACTGTACAGTATCCCTACTAATTTCTTTGTTGGGTTGAAAAGTGAGTTATGAACTCTAACTTTACCTACCTCTCCTCGTGTACCTTGTGCACTGTCAGTCTTTGCTTTGAATATTTTGTATTCCTTTAAGTTAGAATGTCACATCTTTCTGTTGGTTGATCCACTCATCTGTTAGAAACACCCCTTCCTTCCCTCCTCGTTTTTATCTTTAAGTCTACTTTGGGTAAATATTACAGCTATGCAGACTTCTGTTTGGACTAATGTTTATATGGTTTCTTTTTAGCTCTTGGAGATTTATTTATTTCATTGACTCTGCATGTACATGAGCGTGTGTGTGTGTGTGTGTGTGTGTGTGTGTGTGTGTGTGTGTAGCACATGCCTGCAGAATACCCAACAGAAGCAGTGTAATGAAGAAAAATTTATTTGGGCTTATTGTTTTTGAAAATTCAGTTCTTTTTGGTGGGAAAGGCTTGGTACTGCAGAATAGTTCACATCATGGAGAGCCAGAGGTAGGGAGGGAAGATGAATGCTGATACTCAAGTCTCAATCTCCTTTTCCCCTTTTATTCTACCCAGAGCCCCACCCAATATGATGGTACTTCCCACATTCCAGCCAGATCTTACCATAATGATTTGCAGAACCGTAATCCTTACCGTTAATTCTTTGCAAAACTGTCCCTTCAGACACACACAGAAATGTACTACATCAGTATCCGAGGTGATTCTACATGTGGCCAATCTGACATTAAAGAGGATGTAATCACACTACTTAATAGCAGTGATCACTAAGGTGCAGATATGCTGATTCTATTTAGGGTTACATCAGCACCAGAACGTGCTTAGATCTAAAAAGCACTTTGATATTTATTGTGCTTGGTACCGCTTGTGTAGGTTTATTCCCCAAGCAGTGAGATCTTCTATGCCAAAAGGCTCAGAAGGCTATCTAGTTTTGGCTACCCTAGGACTCCCTATGTAGACCAGATTGCCTTCAAACTCATAAAGATCTACCAGCCTGTTTCCTGAGTGCTGGGATTAAAGGCATGGGCCGCCAAGCCTGTCATCAGTTATCTCTTGATGCATATGTCTTGATGCATAACAAATTACTCTTAAATATAACACTTAAGAGAACTACAGCTCATTATTCCCCATGATTCAATGAGTTGGCTGGGTAATTCTGCTGGGCTCAACAAGCAGAGGTCAGGATGTCAGGGATGGGCAGTTGAGTGAATGACTATGGCCTGACTATCTAGTCATGATTGGGTATCTTATTTGTATAGTGTTTGGCTTCTTTGCATGCTATAAAGGCAGTGTCTGTCATGGATACCTCTCCCAATGTCCCTTAGTATTACTTCTGCTGTGTTGTATTGGTAAAGCAAGTCACAAAGTCAGCCCAGATTCAGAGACTCCTGCCTCTTAATGGTTTATGCAAAAATATCATGGTCGTGTCACTCTTCCATAGATGACAAGACCAAAATAAAGACAGGTATGCTAGACAGAATAGTGGCCCTACCAGGTAACATCAACCTGATATCTACTAGGTATCTTGTAATTTATTTCCCTCTGATACCACTAGCCAAATTGTCATCTGGTCCAACAAGTTAAAGGACAAAGTTGCTTATAAGATTGATGTTGATTTCAAATGACATCTTCAAGTGAGGTCTCTGGAACCCACTTCTGTATGACTTGGATACACTTTTTGAAGTTTTCTTGTTTGTTCTTTACATTTAATAATTTGTTACAATGATTCACAGAACTGTATAAATTCTATCCCTATGGTAGCAGTTTTATTATGAAGGATACAAACAGCCAGATGAAAAGATAAATAGGCTGACAAAGGCTGGAAGTAGGGTCTGAGTACAGTAGCTTTCTGTCCCCAAGGAGTAAGGTTGTACCATTCACTGAATACATCAATATATCCTCCAAGCCCAAGTGTTGTGAATTGTTAGTCAGGGTTTTATTGTATAGGCATGACGGATTAAATCATTGGCTGCATAATTTACTCTCCATGCCTTTTATTCTGCCATATTTACTTTGGTTGCTGTTATTCCATAGATTCCTAACTTAGGAATCCATGTAACTGTGTTCCACAGAAAAGGTGAAATTAAGGTCTTATTAGCAGTCCTTAAAGTTAGCGATTATCCAAGGACATCTGGGTGGGTTCAGTATATAATCACTTAGCCCTTTGGTAGGAAAAGGGAGGCAAAAGAGTCAGAAGCAAAAAGCTGACATGAGAAAACAGTCATTGCTGTGTGTGAGATGGAGTCTCATTGTTGTGACAGAATAACTGACATAACGACTTGAAAGGAGACAAAATGTATTTTGACTCTTGGTTTTTCTTCCATTGTGACAAGAAGAGCATGGTAGAGCAGACAGTTGATATCGCGGCAGCCAGGATGTGGCGTGCTATGGGTCATCCCCTTTCCCTTCATGCCAGTCAAGCCCCCAGCCTCTAAGGCTCTGCTACCCACATTTCTCTTTGTTAACCTTCCCTGAGCACTCTCAGAGAGAGTGAGGAGGTGCACTTAACTAATCTCCTAGATGTATCTCAGTCCAGTCAAGTTAACAATCACAATTTACCATCACACCAGAAAAGATAAACAAGCTATCTCCAAGGTCCTTCTGAAAGTAATAACTCTATATCACCATGACTTTAGCTGTTGTAACCCATCTTAGCCTTCTAACCTTCACAGCTGTGAGATAATAAAATTTTAAGCCACTAACTTTGTCATAATCTGCTGTACCAACAATAGGAAGCTAATGCAGTAGGATTTGCAAAGAAGGAAGAAAACAACTTTATTTTTATAGTGTAGGAGCATAATAAATATATAATTACAGCTTCCTTTTTCGTATTAAAAACTTATGTTTTTAAGTGTAAATCAGTTCACATTCTTCAAAACTCTCCTACTTCTTAAACCATTTCCATCTCAAGCCCTCCATAATGCTCAAAATTACCTAATATAACTATGTAGGACTCTGTCTTAATTAGGGTGCATCTGTGTGTCTGATGGATAATGGATTCAGAGAAGAGAAAGACAGGCACTATTCTTACAAGTAGGATATATTTGACCTCTTTGATTCATCCAGTGATAATTTATTCATTATCCTCAGTGTACCAGGATCTATGCCAAACATGGCTTTTTATTTAACAGGAGTTGACATCTAAGCCTGGTACAAAATGTAATTGACATAAAGGGGAGATTTTTTTTTTTAGTGGGATTTTTTCATAGAATCTCTAATGCCGATTGATGGCTTTATAATGTTTCTGTTACTCATAAAGGTTCTGTCTTTCGAAGCCCAAACTAATGCAGCAAGAACAATGATATAGATAATAACAATGGCTGACACTTAGGGAGCCTCTGTAGGACGACTCCCAGGCCTGACCTTCTCCATCACAGTTGATCACAGCTGCTATTTTCTCTTCTTCTTTTTGTTTGTTTGTTTGTTTGTTTGTTTTTTGTTTTTCGAGACAGGGTTTCTCTGTGTAGTCCTGGCTGTCCTGGAACTCACTCTGTAGACCAGGCTGGCCTCGAACTCAGAAATTCGCCTGCCTCTGTCTCCCAAGTGCTGGGTTTAAAGGCGTGCGCCACCACCACCCGGCCTATTTTCTCTTCTTTTGAGTTATTCCTTCAGATATTTGTAAATATACAAAACTCAGTGTTTACACATCCTAATTACTTGCTCCTTAGCTTTAACCCCTTACTACTGTTTCTGAGAGTCTTAAATATAAACTGCTGATTTCATGAGTACTTTGAATTGAAGCAGAAAGGAAGACTGTTTCATTTACAGGTATTTGCCCCAGTGGCCAGAGGCACTGAGCTTAGTTTGGCACAGTTGACACTAACGACTGGCATCCCTTGTCTGGGCCTGAGTTCTGTCACTGCTTATGTATTTCTTTAGGAACCATACTACGTACGTTGCATCAAACCCAACGACAAGAAGTCCCCACAGATATTTGATGATGAGCGCTGCCGCCATCAGGTAGAATACCTGGGCCTACTGGAGAATGTGAGAGTGCGCCGGGCAGGGTTTGCCTTCCGCCAGACCTATGAGAAGTTTCTTCACAGGTAAGGGGGGAGTACACAGCAGAACCCAATAGCACTCAGAATTACCATGAAACAGCAGTCCACATTAGGCCATCTTCAAGCATCTGTAAAGTGAACAGAAAAGTCAAGGGAATTGCACATATAAGAAATTAGTCTCCAGAATCCACAGAGCTCCTGAGTTTGTAGCTTATAAGCCATGGAACAAAGTTCAGTCATTCTGATGGAAACGTAAGGACCAGAACAGCAATACTTCCTTCCTACTTGTTCCTAAGCCAGATGTTTCACTTCTTTTATTTCGCATCTGTAAGATGAATATTAAAACTTCATTGAGTGCTTATAGTGAATATTAAGTAAAAGTCCAAGTCCCTGGCAAGTGTTAGATATTCACTATCACTATTGCTGCTGATACAGGAGCTATCATCTTTCTAAGTTAAGTACCGAGGCTGTGAAATTAGACTAAGTGGTCTGAATCCTGGATTTGCCACTTTCTAGTCCTGTGACTCTTTTTCATGACTCAGTTTCCTTGTATGTGAAGTGAGGATGAAGTAGCAGCCACCTGGAAGGACACTAGATGACTGGGATGAAGGACATCTGGCACTTAGAGCAGCTCCTAGCTGGAGGAGTCACTAAGTGTAAAATGCTGCTGTTGATTTAGGGATAGTAATGACAGTGACTCTTGACACCTGGAAGCTAGGGAAATGTTTTCATTTGCATCAGTTTAATCATTTTATTATTTATTTAATTATTTATTTATTTATTTTTATTTTTTCGAGACAGGGTTTCTCTGTGTAGCCCTGGCTGTCCTGGAACTCACTCTGTAGACCAGGCTGGCCTCGAACTCAGAAATCCGCCTGCCTCTGCCTCCCAAGTCCTGGGATTAAAGGCATGCGCCACCACCGCCCGGCCAGTTTAATCATTTTGAATATCTATAACGATTTCCAACATTCTGGACTATAGATCTCACACACACACAAAGTGAGTGTATAAATATAAGACTTAAACCAGGGGCTGGAAAGGTGGCTCAGTGTTTAAGTGCACTTGCTGTTCTCCCAGAAGACCTACATGGGTGTGATGGTTTGAATGAAAACAGCTTCTATATGTGCATGCTTAGGGAGTGGTACTAGTTGAAAGGATTAGGAGGAGGAGGTGTAACTTTGCTGGGATAGGTATAGCCTTAATGGAGTAAACATGGGCTTGTTGGGGGAAGTGTGTCACTGGGGATAGTGGTCTTTGAGGTTTCAAAAGCCCATGCCAGGCCCAGAGTCTTTCTCTCTTCCTACCTCCTGTAGATCCAGATATAGAACTCAGCTACTTCTCCAGCACTGTGTGTGCCTGTGTAAAAGCCCCAGTTAAATGATTTCCTTTACAAGAGTTGCTGTGGTCATGGTGTCTCTTCACAGCAGTAGAACAGAGTATGACAGGGGGTAACACACAACCTCCTATAACTTGAGCTCCACAGATCCAGCACCCTCTTTAGTCCTCATTGGGCAGCTAAGCACACGCAGGCACACATAAACACAAATAAAACATAAAAATAAATTTAAAAACGCAAACCAGAAAATTCTGATGTTTGAGATCAGAGGAGCCTCTAAAAGAGATAACACTTCCAAAGAGAACCCAACTATACAAAGGTTAGAAGAGAGAAGGTCAGACAGAGAGAACAGCCAGCAGAAAGAGTGTGGCACTTTAAGAATCACGTGATCAGTATAGTTTAAAGATGCTGAGTATCTGGCCTGGTGTGAAATAGCAGAGCAACTGAGCCTAACTTGGTGTTGAACTTTGTAATTAGACCAAAGCATTGAAATGTTGAATTTAGTGAGTTTTAAGCATTGAGTAATATGTCCTATAGATGTCTTCATGTCACCATGGTGATCATGTCCCAGCACCCCCTCAAAAAAAAGATGTCTAGAGAGTCTGCTACTGCAGGAATCTAGAAAAGATAACTTGCAAATAGTTTCTTCAGCAGTGCGTTACTGTGGACATATGGATGGTGGACACATTCAGGATGCATTTGGAACTAGATGACAAGTCTGGCTTGTACACGAATGGCCTGTGATGAGTCAGGAATAGAACAGAATGAAAAATGACAAGTAGATTTTTGTTTTGAGCATCTGGGTAAACACTATACTGAATAAAAGAAGTCTGAAGTGAGCCAGAGAGATGGCTCAGTTAGTAAAGTGCTTGCCACAGAAGCATGAAGAGCTGAGAGCAGATTCCTAACACCCACATAAAGAGCCAGGTACATGCCTATAATCCTAGTGTTGGAGAAATGGAAATAGGGGTATACTGGGGGTTTGCTGACCAGCCAGCCTGTTCAAATCAGTGAGAGACTGTTTCTAAAAAAATAAGGTGGGAAGAAGAAACAAAAAGAAAAAAAGCAACATAAGGTAGAGTGATTGAAGATGACACTAAATGCCCAGTCTCCACACATACCTGCACAACACGTACATGTGCACCTGCACACACACACACGAGCATGTACACACACTTCATAACCAGAAGGAAACAAGTTTCAAGAGGAAAGTACAAAATAAGACAATGATAGAAATCAAGATTATTTGCTTGGGCTGGGCAAAAAGTTGGTAAAGTGTTTACAAGGAGGGCCTGAGTTTGTTTCCCAGAAGCACATCAAAAATCCATGTGTGGTAGAGCATACTTGTAATCCCAGTGCTGGAAAGGCACAGACAAACAGACTCCCAGGGCTTACTGCCACTTACTGTGCCAAGTTCCAAGCAAGAAAGAAACCTGTGTTAGAGTAAAGTAGACACCATTGCTGAGGAATCCCACCCAGGATCGTACTCTGTCCTCTACACACAGGTACACATATGTGCCCTCACACCTCCGCACACATGTGTCTGCACACAGGAACACACACATTGTTCTCTTACTCTGTTAACTTTTAAATGCCTTCTAAACATCTGAGTGGAAACATAGGGTTCTTGGACATTCATACTTGGAGTGCTGGGGGGAAGCTGGGCTGCAGATAAGAGAGAGTGGAGTCTTTAGCATGGAGATATAAGCCTAGGAGTTGGTAGAGACAGAGAGGAGGTCTGGAGTGGTGTTTAGATTTGTGGTCTAACAAGTAAGGACCAATACAAGAAGAAAAGGAGTGACCCTCAAGACAGAAGGGAGACTAGAGAGGGGTTGTGTCACAGAACCCCACGGGTGATAGCATTTCAGGAAGAAACTTATGCCATCATACAAAATGTTGTCACATAACCACTCAGAAGTCAGAAGCTAGGCAGAAAGCTTTATCAACACAAGAGTCAAAGAAGGAGAGGGCGGAGCCTGCTTTGAGCAGGATAGGAAAGGAAGGGAGTCTGTAGCTGTAACAGCTCAGCAGAGTGTGCTGTACAGTGGGAACAGAGAAAAATGAACACAGCAGCTGCACAAGGATGGGACACAAAGTGTGCGCAGACGGGGCGATTAAGAACGGGAAATCCCATGGCACATGCAAGAGGGGTTGAAAGTAATAAAAGCGTCCGTGTGGTGGCAAGACACGATAGAATCCCAAAGTCAAGTGGAAACTATGTCAGCCTGAGATGGGAGCAGAGGCATTTTGCCTGTGACAGTGAGGTGCGGTCAGAAGAGATGGCCTGTCAGGTGCAAGAAGTATTGAAGCTTCACTGGTAGCAAGGTGCAGTTGTTTCTGTCTGTCTCTGCTTTCTCACTGCCATGTGAGACAGGATCCTGAAAAAGAGTGAACATCTGGAGGAGAGCAGAGGGGAAGTCAGAAAGAACACTCCTTTAGAGCCGTGGGTCCCAACCTTCCTAATGCTGTGACCCTGTAATACAGTTCCTCATGTTGTGGTGACCACCAACCATAGTTATTTTCGTTGCTATTTGATAATTGTAATTTTGCTACTGTTCATAATTTAAATATTTGGTATGCAGGATTTCTGATATGTGACCCCTGTGAAAGGGTCATTCAACACCTTCAGGGGTCTCAACCCACAGATTAAAAGCTGCTGTTTTAAAAAGTGGAAACAAAAAAAAAAAAAGTGGAAACAAATGGGTTTGTTCCATAGCCTTGCCATCAGAGAGAAAAGAGGGCCTGTTGGAGAGATGAGATTAAAAGCATGAGAAACCACCTAGTATTGACAAATTTTCTCTACAGCATTACAATTCAGCCATATGTGTACAAGGGAGATCACACCAAAGAGATGTTCTTGGCTAGAATGAATAAAACTTTATAGAATAATGGCTTGGAAAACTGGAGTTCAATTTAATAGTAATCAAAAAGTTATGCTTAAAATTGATCCGCTGTTCCTGTTGAAATCACATCAATCTATAGGCTGTATGGAAGGAGTGTTTTCATGAGTGGAGGTGTGTTTGTTGTGAATCTTGATTTTAAACAATGTCCAGTTCTTTCACTAGAAAAAGTTATAGTTCATCTTTATTACACAGAAAACTTGAACAATTTATCAGTTACAGTGTTGTCATGTACAGAAAGTCAGTAGTAGTTAAATTGTGAGCATCATGGGAATGGTAACCATCAGAGGGGCTGTGCTGGGAGTGTATTGCCTTGAGATACAATGGAAGTTGGGAGAGTAGTTGAAGCAACCAAACAGTACGTAAGCATGGCTTGAAGAGAAAGGGTATTCTGTGAATGGGGACCTTTACCTACCTTTTGTTTCCTTTCGGACCTTGTAACTTTCAACTTAGAATGTGTTTGTGTGTTCATTTGAGGTATTAAAAAAATACTAGTCACTAGAATACATTTTCTAATCCTCATATAAAAACAGAAATATTAGAAAGAACATAAGAGGGGTAAGTGTTTGCCATGCCAATGTGAGGCCATGAGTTCAGATCTCCTGCACCCATGAAAAGATGGGTACAGTGCACACATCTTTAACCCCAGTGCTGAAAGCATCAAAGAAGGGTAGATCCCTGGGCCTCGATGTCCAGATAGTCTAGATGAAAATGACAAGCCTCAGGTTCAGAGAGAGAAAGAGAGAGAGGTCCTGGCTCAAAAAATTAGAGAGGGATAGACAATGACAGTCAGTGTTGGCCTTTGGCGCACACACACACACACACACACACACACACACATGCGCATGGGCGTGCACAAATAACCCTCCCCATTCCCACAAACCTATAAATTTCCAGTAGTCTTAGTGGCTCAATTTCTACCCCAAACATCCTTAAATAGTGCAAAACATATTTATGTATGTTCTGGTTGATTTTTATTGTCAGCTTGTTACATTCCTGAGTTACTTGGTGAGGAAGAAGCACATCTGAGGGATTATCAGATCAGACTGGCCTGTTGCCATGTCTAGTCCTTCATGGCTCTTGCTTCCAGGTTCCTGCCCTGAGTCTTTGCTCTGACTTTCTTCTGTAATGGACTGTGACATGGAAGTGTAAACTGAAATAAACCCTTTCCTCTCCTAAATTGCTTTTGCCCATGGTGTTTATCACAGTGACAGAAAGCAAACTACACAATCTTAAAATAGCAAATGCACAGCCAAGATGGGGAACCAAAAAGAGGGATTCTTAGTGAACCTTAAACATGTGTCTTACTCCCAAATATTATAAGAAGATGCACAGGCAACCCAATGTCTCAACTGTAAGCAAAGACAATCTAGTGAAGCTTGAGCTGCCTTTTAAAAAGCCATCCCAGGCCATACATGGAAATGTATATTTGTTATCCCAGCATTGGGAGGCTGAGGCATCAGGATTGCTAATACCTGGCCTATATAGTGATTTAGAGACCAGCCTGAGCTCCATAAGGAGGCCTAGCAAGAGGGAATGAGAATGAATGAATTAATTAATGAATGAATGCTTCAGTGTGGTCACATGGCTAGGAGATTAGCATAATACAAGTAGCTGATACAAGTAGCCACATCTCCAGCTGCTATAAGGAAAGCAAGGCCCATCTAAAGTGAGTGCAAGAAGTAAAGACAGAATAGGGAAGAAGCACTGTTCAAACAAACTCAAGAAATGCCCAAATAGTGAAGAGATTTTAGTATATTTAAATTTTTCAAGAGAATTATAATAATAGTCAATGGCTTTTTAAAATGCCTGTTCTGTATACCAGGCATGGTTTTTTTTAACATTTTATATGTTTGTTTTAAGTGACTAAAACTAGCAACCCTGGGAAACAATATCTTACCTCATTCTATATGGATGAAGAGAGAAAGGTGGTACAATTGGTTGGGTGTAAATATCTGCTTCTAACTCTTTTAGCTGCTTGTTGGGCCTTTTGGAAGGAATTGCAGATGATATGATAGTATACATAAGTGACCCCAAAAATTCTACCAGAGAAATTCTACAGCCGATAAACAACTTCAGCAAAGTGGCTAAATATAAAATTAACATTCGTTGGTGTGCACACATCAGAAAGGCAAATACTGAGACATAATAAGCACAGGGCATGACTTTCTAAACAGAATCTAAACAAGCCATAGGAAATACAGCAAAACATGACAATGGTAAGGCATCAAATTAAAAATAGTATATGCAACAAAGAAAAAACAGAGAAGAGATAACCTAGAGAATGAAAGAATATCTGTTATTATCGGACAGATTGATATCCAGAACAATTTTTTAAAATTAAAGTCATCAAAAATTGCAAAAAAAAAAGTCACTTCATCCCACCCCAGTGTGTTAACTCTCCTCAAGAAAACCAACTACAAATAGTGAGGATGCTGGGAGAAAAGGAGCAAGTGCACAGTGTAGTGGGAGTATGAATTAGTACCGACATCAGGAGAACCCACATGGAGTGTTCTCAAGGAACATGGTCCAGCTACATAGTTCCTGTGTGTATACTCTGAGAATCAGAACTATTCCCAGTAAACATGTTAGGGAATCAGCCTAGGTGCCCACCATCAGGTGGGTGCATATAGAACAGGTATAGATAGATACACAGTGGATTCCTATTCAGCATAAAGAACAACACCATATCATTTTCAGGAAATTGGATGGAACTGTAGATGTTGAGTAAGATAACCCAGACTCAAAAAGAGAAGTGTTTCCATTTCCTCTCATCTGTGAAATCTTGAGAGAAGATATGAAAGTAGAAAGAAAACTAGAAGAAGGAGATGAGAGAGAAGGCTTTGGAAGGCAGTGGGGTTGATCAAAGTCTACTGCATTCAATATGAAAGTGTCTCAGTGAAACCCGTTATTTTATACAACTAATATGTACTCATTAAAATGTTTTAAAATAAGGAAAACATATAAGTACCAGGAGGAAGCACCAGCGAAATACTCTATAACCTGAATGAGTGTAAAGAAAAATCTCTGTAATTGAAAATTGAAATTCAGTATCAGAGAAAGATGACTTAATTTAGCTACACATTAGTGCCGCATACGGTATGGGGACATCACTATACAGGCAGGGTTGTTAGATGCTCCCCCTCCTGCCGTATGCTCATGCCGTGTGTGTGTGTGTGTGTGTGTGTGTGTGTGTGTGTGTGTGTCCCTACAATGTCTGCAGAAACTCATGACTGCTTGCAACAAAGCAGACTATGACAGAAGTGGTGAAATGTCGCTTTGAGGTTGTGATGTGACTTCTATCTTACACTTGTAAAAAGCTGTGGCTTAAGGAGTGGCTTTGTGACAGACTCAAATGGCATGGAACTGCTTAGCTGTGGAAATGCAGTTCATTCTCATGGGCTGACCTAGCACTGCTTAATTTTCTCCTAGTTTTAAGAGTTTCTCCAAAGATCCATTTGGTTCCTTTGAAGAGAGTCCTATTATTCATGAGCATTGTCAGTTCTGTTCTTCCTCACTGTGTTAGTTAGACCTCCAGAGCAGTGTTGAGAACCCATGATGGCAGCATCCTCCTTGTGTCTGTAAAGAGAATGTTTCCTAGGTCACCTGCTTACAGATGGTATTTCCTATAAATTTTTGGTGAGTAGCCTTCCAAAGATTAAGGAAGTCGTTTTTAGCCTTGGTTTAGTAAGAATTATTATCATGAAGGAATGTTTTAGTGAAGAGATTTTCTTTTTCATCTCATCAGGCTGATGAGATTCACATCTCATAACAGTTGGCTAAAGTTTTGTTGAGAGGTTCTTTTAGATGACAATACATTTTTTTTCTTTGATTTGTGCCATCTTCTTTCTTCACCCAGGTACAAGATGATCTCTGAGTTCACCTGGCCTAACCATGACCTTCCTTCAGACAAAGAGGCTGTCCGGAAACTCATAGAGCGATGTGGCTTTCAGGATGACGTGGCTTATGGGAAGACCAAGATTTTCATTCGAACACCCCGTACACTGTTCACCTTGGAAGAACTCCGCGCCCAAATGCTCGTCAGGGTTGTCCTCTTCCTACAAAAGGTAACTTCATGTTTTATAGGCAAGAAGGTCTCTGTACACTAAAAACTTCGCTAAATGTTTTACTTAATTCCAGAAATGTGTGCAGATGGTACAGTGTGTGGGTCTTTGAGCACCTCACCTTTTTCTCCCTTCACACATGCAAAACTTATTTGGCTATGCCGTTCCAAAACTTGAAACATATTTTGTCCTCTGATGTTTAAAGTTAGGTATCCTGTTGGCCTACTTTTGCAGCTCAACATTTTTTTTTTTTTTTTTAGTTTAAATGCTTAAAGAACTTTTTTAAAAATCTTGTATTTCACCCCCTGGCAGTGGACAAAGAGACACCTTGTTGGTGGTAGTGTTCTTAGTCAAGGGCAGAGCAGATGGCAGTCCTTTGTTCATCCTAGCTTGATGCCTGGCTTAGAGGCCAAAGCTGTCTCATGCCTAGGGCACATAAAAGTCATATATTTCAAAATTCTACCAATATGTTTGTAACCGTCCCATAAGTAATCCTTACCCCACCGCTTCCTCAGAGGTGGATGCCGAGTCCACACCTCATTGACTCGCACCTCTCATCGCTTATCTGTTCAAGGATGCCCCTCATTGCATGCATGTGTTCATTCTTTTTATCCCCATGCCTTTTCATCATAACCTCCACATTAAAAAAAAAAAAAAACAGTTATATATGTGAACAAGGCGTAGTGACTCACTCAGGGAACTGAGACAAGAGGATCACCACAAGTTTGAAACCAGCCTAGACTACATGATCAGCCTGAGCCACAGAAGTCTCAAAAATAAGACTGTATATGTGCACACGTGTGCACATGCCTGCGTGCCCTCACACATGTGCATATGTGTGTTAAGTATCATATACTTCTCTGAAGAAGTTCAGGGTCATAGCATATATATAATTGGCATAAGTACGGCCAGGTACCTCTTCAGAGCAACTACCAATAGTACAACCACGACCTACTGGTTATCTATATGAGGGTGACTGTGTACCCATATTCCTACCAGTATGATATTGCTCCCTACCTCTTATCAGACTAATCAGTACAATGATAAATATTTCAGAGTTGTTTTAGGTTCTGTTTATCTGGTTACTGTTGGAACTTGAGCATTTCAATAATTGATTGTTTGTGGAGGGAAATTATTGCAAATTGCCTATTTATATTTCTTTGTAATACTTTTATTCTTTGAAAATTTCAAGCAATGTGTTTTCAGCACATGTGCATGCACACATGCACGCACACACTCACACATACACACATACACAGACACACATAGATACTTCCACACATACATATGTGGACACACACCATCATCAATCACCATCAACTTCTCTCCTTACCACCCTTCCTATCCCCACAACTTTGCCTTCGAACTTTGAGATTACTTATTTTTTTCTTTTTCTTACCTATCAAGCCCAGTTTGTGTGGCCCAGGAAGTCTTCACATACACTGATATGTGGTCAGTCTATCAGGCCACATCATTGAAGGAGACTGACTCTCCTCCCAGCAGCTATCATAGGCTAATAGCTCCTCAGCTAGTGATGGGATTACACATCTACTTTCCTTCCTCGGTGCTGAAATTATATTTGGGTATAGCTTGCAAAGGTCTTCCACATGCTGTCATATATGTTAAATTCATGTGAACATTTATCCTGTTGGATCTAGAAAACACTGTTTCTTTGATATTATCAACAACCTCTGTTCTCACAATCTTTTGGCCACCTCTTCTACAAAAATCCCTGAGTCTTGGAGGGGATGGTGTGATACAAATGTCTGATTTAGGGATAAGCATTCCACAGTCTATATTTTTTATATGTTAACCAGTTAGAGACCTCAGCACTAGTTTTCATCTTCTGCAAGGAGTTTTTCTGGTGAAGATTGAGAGATACTCTAAAGGTATAGCAATAAGTCATTAGGAGTCAATACTGTGTCTGTTTAGAAGAATAATAGTATTGGGTTTTCCCCTAGGGACTATGACCTATCTATCCACAGGTTGTTGGTCCCTTTGGTAGTGTCAGATATCGGTTCCATCTCCTAGAGCAGACCTTTGATCCAATCAGAAAGTTGTTGATTACTCCCATAACATTCATGACTATTACACCAGCGGGCCTTTCTTGTCAGGCCAGGCTCACAGGGTTCACAGCTTGGTGAGACTGATGCTTACTCTTCCCTCTGGCATCATGCATAGTGCTTCCAGCACCGTGACACCAGCCTGTAGAAATGAAGCTTCCAAGTTAGTATGAGCTTGATGTCCTCATGTTCTATGACTCAAGAATGTAATGTCTTCAGCAATAGGGTCTTACTGTTAAGTTCTGGGGGATAGCCAAGAGTGCTGGCAATAGCTTGTAATGCTTGGGAGTCTATGTGACCCCAACAGCTAACTCTAAAAGAGTTAACCTATTCCTGGTCCTGAGGAATTTATTTGGTAGCATAAAGTGTATGTTTAGGGCATTATCTCCCTATCAATAAACTACTCCATATAGGCCTAATTGTACATTTTAGGAAGCTTCTATTGTTTTAGGTCTTTTGTTCATTTTTTTCACACTGCTGTCTTCTTGATAATAAGTAAGAATTTCTTGAATCCAGTTTTTAACATTGCCTTATATCCACTTTTGACATTATAAATATATTCTTCTACTTTATTTTATAGACATTAAAATGAAATGTATCTATAATGTGCTTTGTTGAACACAGATTCTTTAATTTTATACTTTTGTATACGTTATGCTGTGTACTTTGGGCTTTTGAATTTCATTTGAGAATTCCCTTGTTTCTAGGTCACAAAAATATTACCTTATATTTTCTCTCAAGATTTAGATGAATTTCTCTCTTACATTTAGGTCTTTAATTCTTTTATAATAGAACTATTAAATGGTTTCACATAGGAATCTGATTTGTTTTTCTCTCATATGGTTGGCCAGTCTTCTTGTGAGGTAAGCCACCACAGAACACCATCAGAGACCACCACATGAACACTCTGAAATCTAAAAAGAAAGTCTTTTTTTTTTTTTTTTTTTTTCCGAGTCAGGTTTTCTCTGTATAGCCCTGGCTGTCCTGGAACTCACTCTGTAGACCAGGCTGGCCTGGAACTCAGAAATCCGCCTGCCTCTGCCTCCCAAGTGCTGGGATTAAAGGCGTGCACCACCACCGCCCCCCCACCCCCCCACCCCACCCCCAGCAAAGAAAGTCTTCATTGCTGGCTGGTGCCTTGGTGGCTTCATGGAGAACTTACCAAGCCTTACAGCCTTTTGTCTTTTATGCACTAAAACAGCATCCTGGTTGTCACACTTTCATTAGTAAGAAGCAGAACAACAGAATCTAAAAGGCAAGGTTAATACATTTAGAGTCTTTCCTGGAACTATGGACCAGGTCTTTGATGGACTAGGTCATTGTTTCTAGTTTGCCATGTGTTAGGACCTACATGCTTTGTTTCAAGGTCAGGATGGTGCCTCTAACACAGCATCTGTTATACTAAGGTCCTGGCCTGATACATTCTCACACTAGCTTCTGCATAGTCTGTTCCTTTTCCTTTGATTTTTGGAGCTACTTATAACTCATGTTGAATATACTGTTTCCCCTGGTGCTCAGTTCTGTTCCAGTTTTTCTGTTTGTCTGTATTATATTAATGCTACACCACTTTTTACCACAGTATGTCTTAGTACCCAGCTTCTTAAGTTGTGAGTTATAACCCATATGTGACTAAGTGAGTGTGGAGGGTGCAAAACCTTTGGTAACAGTAAAAGGTTTCTTAACAGGAAGTAACCAAAAATGAATTCAGAATCAAACACATAATCAATCTGAGGTGTTTGAGGCAAGGTTCACCCATGTTACATTGTCAACTTTACTGCAGCTTTGATTCAGAACACCTCACATGCCCACTTTGCAGTATACAAGCTATTACAGCACCAACCAATCTTCAACAACACTTTAGATCAGATTTGAAATCACTGTGTGCTATGAATTGTAGTCAGTATTACAGTGCATACAAGTTTGCTGCTCTTACAGAAACACAGCTGAATTACAGAAAACAAAGACAATATTTTTACACTGTCACTCTTCAGTGTGTATTGAATTAGTGTATTCTTAGATTGCATTCTGTTAGGATGTTTGATCTTAAAAATTGCTGTTTGAATGGCTGATTTTTCTTTTAAAAATTGTTAATGCTGGGTATGATGGCACCACACCTTTAATCCCAGCACTTGTGAGGCAGAGTCAGGCGGATCTCTTTAAGTTTCAGGACAGCAAGGGGCTACACAGAGAAACCTTGTCTTGAAAAACAAAAACAAAACAAAAAATGATAAATGAACTTTGGCTCCTACGTGTATTTCATTAGTATGCTAATTTCCTTTCATGTTTAATAAATGACGATATATGTATTTCAAAGGGTTGTTTTAAATAAATTTACTGGTTTTTTATTAAATGTTTGATTTGTAAACATACACATATGTATGTATGTATGTATGTATGTATGTATGTATGTATGTATGTATATAAATTAGTTAGCTAAAACTTTCTCAGGTGAATAGGGTTCACAGTAGGAAACATTGAAGGAACCCTGTCTTGATGTACTGTAGGATAAACCCTGTGCTTTACTGAGATAGCTTGGACCACATATAGACCTTTATCCTGTAATAAAAATTTTAATGTGTGTAATAAGTTCATTAAACACAACAGTAATCTTTATTAGGATTGCATTGAATTTACAGAATCTCTTAAAAGGATTAACATTTGTGCAGTATTAAGTGATCTATATGAGTACAAAATAGGTTTATTAATGAAATCATCTTCATTGGTCTTTAGGCCAAAAGAGGACTTGGGATTCATGATTAATTCATAGATACTTTACTATACTTTACTATTTTACGCTAATGAATTTATTATTATGTCTCCTACATAATAATGTTGCAGAGAATAATACTAACTTATGCTGGGTTTTCTGCATCAAGAATGAAACATTTCTTAGTTCATATTTGTGACTAGTTTTCCTGGCTATGCAGCTTCCCTTACAGTTACCAATGTCTTGGTCTCCATTCGCTTTGCCTAGAATGCAAAGTAACTTTTAAACTAGACTACAAAATTCTGTTTAATCTCTCAACAATTTCTTTGTACTAATTGCATTTTGAATCTTGCCTTTGTCCACTTCTGTTTTCCTTCTTATGAGTGACTATGACTTTGGGTCTTTATTTTCTGAAGCACTGAACTATTTTCATGTCCCTGTCACAGATCTTCAAGTACTTTCCCTTGATCCTCAGTGCTTATCTTTGAGAGAGCTTGGTGGTGGTGGTGGACTGACTGGTTTGTTTTCTTGGTTAGTGTCTTTGAATCAGGATCTGGCTATGTAGCTCAGGCTTGAATTCATCATGGTCATCCTGCTTCAGCTCTGGGGAAAGTGTGTACCCAATGTCTGTTATGATGCATTGTTAATTTTTGTTGTCTTCTTTTAGAT